ATGACTAGTAAATACTCGCAGACCGATTTACATGCTCCATGTGTTCGTGAAAATACATTTTCAAATACATACTGAATTCAAATATTCCATGACTTTACTTTTCCGTAGAACTATCAAACCTTATTCATAGATCATCTGTTTATATATTGCACAATTATATTAATACTTTTTTATAGAACAATTCTGGTAAATTATAGATAACAATATAACCACCGCAATCATACGATATACTACGTTCTCATAATAACATATACTATGGTCTCACAATCACATATACTGTGACCTCACAATGATATATACTATGTCTCACAATAACATACCTTGTGATCTCACAAACACATAAACTATGGTCTCACAATCACATATACTATAATCTCACAATAACATATACTATCATCTCACAATCACATATACTGTGACCTCACAATGATATATACTATGTCTCACAATAACATACCTTGTGATCTCACAAACACATAAACTATGGTCTCACAATCACATATACTATAATCTCACAATAACATATACTATCATCTCACAATCACATATACTGTGACCTCACAATGATATATACTATGTCTCACAATAACATACCTTGTGATCTCATAAACACATAAACTATGGTCTCACAATCACATATACTATAATCTCACAATAACATATACTATCATCTCACAATCACATATACTGTGACCTCACAATGATATATACTATGTCTCACAATAACATACCTTGTGATCTCACAAACACATAAACTATGGTCTCACAATCACATATACTATAATCTCACAATAACATATACTATCATCTCACAATCACATATACTGTGACCTCACAATGATATATACTATGTCTCACAATAACATACCTTGTGATCTCATAAACACATAAACTATGGTCTCACAATCACATATACTATAATCTCACAATAACATATACTATCATCTCACAATCACATATACTGTGACCTCACAATGATATATACTATGTCTCACAATAACATACCTTGTGATCTCACAAACACATAAACTATGGTCTCACAATCACATATACTATAATCTCACAATAACATATACTATCATCTCACAATCACATATACTGTGACCTCACAATGATATATACTATGTCTCACAATAACATACCTTGTGATCTCATAAACACATAAACTATGGTCTCACAATCACATATACTATAATCTCACAATAACATATACTATCATCTCACAATCACATATACTGTGACCTCACAATGATATATACTATGTCTCACAATAACATACCTTGTGATCTCACAAACACATAAACTATGGTCTCACAATCACATATACTATAATCTCACAATAACATATACTATCATCTCACAATCACATATACTGTGACCTCACAATGATATATACTATGTCTCACAATAACATACCTTGTGATCTCATAAACACATAAACTATGGTCTCACAATCACATATACTATAATCTCACAATAACATATACTATCATCTCACAATCACATATACTGTGACCTCACAATGATATATACTATGTCTCACAATAACATACCTTGTGATCTCACACTCATCCTCCAATTGTCCAAATCCAATATCAATCAATATCACAGACGTCTTTCAAGTTCTAAATAAATACTAAACTTTTTTTAATCCCTCATTTCTTATTTTTTCTTCCAGTAATCTAACAAGAACATGTCCATGGCAGCTCAAAGGATGACACCAACACCCTAAACACTTGCCCTTCAGTTCGTCAAGCTCTGCCATGAGTGAGGGATTTGCTCTGACATATTCCTCATAACGTTTTACTGCTTCTTCCCTTCCAAGTTTTTTCGGCTTGAACGGGTTATGCCATTTGCTACCGACTGCACCTTTAACGTAACAGGTCATGTTCCGACCGATGTAGACATTGTTAGAGTTTTTCACCCATTGTTCTAAGTCCTTCACTCCTCTTTTGTTCAATTCAGCTTTCCTTATGTTGACAACGCGTGCGACTGGAGGCCCCTTGTAAACCTGAAAGTTGTTGAGATTTCAAATAAAATGTTACAGAGGTAAATTAAGTTAATTACTTTTTGCTATTATTCGATTTCATAAGTATGCACAAACCTGTTGATAATGACGGAAAGACGGAAAAGAAGCACAATGCTGCATTTAAGGTCGTGTTTGGTTTAAGTATACATCTGATGCATTCGATTATTGTCATGGCATATATTTCAATAGTGGGAACGAGGTACTTAAGAACAGCAAATGTGCATCGTGTACAATCGTTGGCTGTAGACAAACCGTCGGAATTAAATAAGAGTGGAATAAGAGTCGAGGAGTAAGGTTTGTTAGTTATATCCACAGATTTTGGTGCCTTAAATAATGGGTTACGTTTTGAAATACACGTGAACGGAGCGGAAAACTGATTTTATTATTTGATTGAACCTACATTCAAATTAAACCTTATGAAGACAAATACAATAACAAAACAATAAAACAACAAACAATAAAACAAAAACAAACAAACAAACCTTTTTAACGCTAGACTTAAACTCTACTGATGCTGTAGCCCCCGTTGGTTTTATACATTTTCTAATGTCACTGGATGTAGACTGCCATGCCTTTCTGTTCGTTACCGCCGCAACATCGACTTTCATCTTTTTCTCAGAATCAGGATGAAATAGTGCTTGCTCTGGACGAGGGAGAGCAGTTTGAGGTGTACTTGATCTCTTATTTTTAGCGTCGCCGCTTGATTTACCAACAGTTCCAGGTCTCCTCTGTATGTTCAACGCCATTGCACGATCCCTTTTACTAATGTCCATTTAACTGATCTGAATCACGCATACAGGTTTTATAATGGTATATATTTTCTGTCAACACGTTATCTTTGTCAACAATATTTCATTAAATGTTATTAAAGTGTACCTAGATTACATGTTTATTTATAGTTGTTAATTGGTATGTATATAGACGTTCATAAATATATATAAAAAAATCATTTCAGTTTTATAGTTTTGATGCTTTACGGCAAAAACCGAAAAACATACCTTTGAATAAACCGCTCTCACATCAAATCAATATAATAATCAATTTAATAAACATTATGTGTATATGTATACATATATATATATCTGTGTGTGTGGGGGGGGGGGGATGTGTGTGTGTGTGTGGGGGGGGGGGTGTATTCGATATGATAAATTTACATATAATACAATTTACATATGATTAATGAAGTTATAATGACAGTACGGACAAGTTAATTTTCAAATTATGTTTAAATTTTACATCAAAATCATGAAACATAAGATGATCCTGCTACATGAAAATTTGGTAAACTTTTCATATGTTGAAAAGTATCTGTTCAAAAGGTCAAGCTGATAACACTTTTCTTTGCATAAATGTTAGTTTGTGTCCTCGTCATAAACGTTAAGACTAGTGAGAAGAGGAAAAGGGAGTAATTAGTGTAAATCAGTTCAAAAACTCCATCACCAAATACTTTCTTTATCAACTCTCTAAGTAAGTTTTTCTACATTAAATTCGATCATATATAGCCATCATAATTGACGATATATATTGGCGATACAGTACGAAGGACTAAATTATTAAGTAAACACATTCTGACCTGAAGTCTATATTGTTGATTTTAGTAACTATCGGTCTCCACATTTCATAATAAATGCAGCTAATTTATATACATTTAAAACAACCAGTAATCTAGTCTTGTTTAGTATGTAACAACTTACCAACGTAAATATAGCCTTTATGTACTCCTCCTCTGGTGTGTGTGTCATAATTTATGTGGACTGTGTATTAAATACCAGTAAGCCGTGTGTATTTCACAACGTGATGTTATTCAATGGTCGTTGGACCCAAGGGAAGCAACCCTTGTATGGATTTTAATCGTAGTGCAACACCAATAAATTCGATAATTCTCTGCAGATTTTGTACATTTTGGGCTAGTTTTAGCACTTCTTTTAGCGAATCAACATTGCAGGTGACTATGGCATTTCATGACTAAATTGTCGTTTTGTTATTTACTGAATGTCTCCAAATAAAACGTTATTGTACTTTATTCTTTGAAATAATCTTTACGATTCATAGTAGTATATCATAACTTATGTTTTTACACAAATATATGCTGTACTGCAATTTGCTGTAATATGATATTGAATATAAGTAAAATAACATCGATGACAACCTGAATCATCTGGTGATAATTTCTGATTTTCGTTGAAGTAAGAGTCTGAAATATTACAATTTCAGTCATCAGTCAGATCCTATTCTGACACTTTCGTAATATTTCACCATTTAACACTAGGTTCCATGAAAACACCAAAATTAAGAACAAATCAAATGACATTTAGTTTATTGCCTTAAAACCTGAATTAATAATTAACATTATGTCAACGTATTATTTAACATGGCAGAAGATCAATCATCAGTTTAAACATACATTTGCTTCAAATTACATATCAAGAAATAATATAGATAAGAAACGGTCATGAAACACTATGCCCCCAGTTGCAACAAAATTCTGAAGTGGGACATCAAACCTGTACTGTGTAAGGCATGTGCTTATTGTATGCACACTTTGAAAAAACTTTTTTTTTCAATTGTAGGTCACGGTCAAGGTCACATGGTAAAACATTTTGCTATCAACTGATGGTCTTGTCAAAAGGAACACACATGCTATACCTCTTATGATGTAATAGTTATGGCTAATGTTATTTTTTTTCAAATGGCGGTCAAAGGTCACAGTCAAGGTCACATGGTCACAAACTTTGGTACTACGGTGCAATATCAATGGCCAAGGTTAAATCTAACAACAGACAGCACAAAAACAATATGTCTATGATCTTTTGTTCTAGGGGCTTAAAAATAAGTGCTACATATGTAAAGCAGACATTTTCCTGTTCCTGAACTGGCAAGTTCATCAAAATCTTCTGGATATTGGATACAAACCTTTTCAATTCAATCTTTCCTTGCATTTCTTCTCACAAAAAGGAACAAAAAGTATACAAACATTCTTTCATAATTTTAATGACAAATAAATATATAACTACATACATTTGAAAGATACTGCACATTTAAAATTCGAAAAAAGAACATTCCAGTTTTTACCAATGTCAACTAAGACAGATGATAATATTGCATTTGCATCATAACAAAATATATTTGTAATCAATAAAAGACTCCTTACAACTCAGGAAATCTTAATTCTGGGGAAGTTTTCCCTTGTATCCCTTCCCCGGAACACTTGAACTGGCTTCTTAGATTTCACTTACTACTTACATATGATGTACATATATATGTACTGGAAATGAATCTTAACCAGCATTGAAAGTCATAGATATACTGCTTACTATCAACATACTAAAATGAACAAGAAACACATATATATTGCACCTAACTATATCGGCAGTATGTGTTTCAAATAAAATGGACTGGATCAATAAATATGTTCAAATATGTTATTTGTTATGACAGAAATATATTTGAAATGCAGTAGTAAAGAAGTTCATTTTTTGTGTATCGACACGGTGGTATATCCAGAAGGGAAAATCTTGACTTCGGAGATTCTGTAATAAACAAACAAAATAGCTATTACATACCACCAACAGAAAAGTGTAATGTATGTAATGGGTCACTGATAATAATGACAGCTCATTACATTAAGAATACAGTAGTTCATTTTGACTACAAATGATTTATTTTATGTATTTATATACAATTACACTGAATGTTAGATTACAACAAGAGATCCAAGAGGAAGTCATTTTGTTTCTCCTGATCAATCCCAAAATGAAACGGGAACAAGAAGGGACCAAAGGTAAAACACGTATGAAATTTCAGATCAGTCCCAAAATCAAACAGGACCAACTAGGGATGAAGAGGGAACAGACATATGAAATTTGAGAAGGAACCATCTAGTTTTTCTCAAAGAACAGTGAGAACAAAAATTGTTTTTGGACTGACGGACAGAGGGAAAACGAACCAAGGACGTACAGCAATTTGAATAGCCCACTATCTGATAATGGTGGGCTGAAAATGAATGAAATTATTAAGACATATATACCATTATAATTATTGAATATAACACTAAATAGACTGACCTTAATGTTGCGTGGCGAAATTTAAATCATCTACTTCTCAATCCTGAAAAAAGAAGCATGTACAGATAATTGTTAAAAACCTGTAAAATATCCATTACCTAAATGAGGCTACTTGTTTGGTTTTTCGAAAAATGACTGAATCTTAATTCTACAGCTTGTTTGGTTTTTTCGAAAAATGACTGAATCTTGATTCTACAGAAGTAATCTCTATTCTTATTAATGGCTATATCAATGTTCTCTCAAAACTGCATAGCCCTGTTCACAACACTCTTTAATGATTTTAGAACATAGACAATTTAAAATTTAAGAAAACGTGTACCCTACAAATTGTCCTATGAGGAATTGATACCAAAACCATACATCTGAAGTTAGCAAATATTGGCAAACCAAAGATTTTTTAATGAATTAATAATCTTCATTTTAAATAATGTTCTTTGGATGAACATGTATATGAAGAATGGTCGTGATGATATGTACAAGTATCTGAAGGAAGCCACACAGCAAACATCATCCATCAAAAACAAACAATCACCTTGTCACCATTTTACTCAAAATATTATCATTCTATTTGAAAGAAGAATCTTTCATTCAGCCTCACTCAATTGTTCAATTACTGATCAATTTAAAATTTGGATAAAGAAAATATACAATGTATTAATCTATCTGTGAAAAATAATATATATATATTTTTCTTTCATAAAAATAATATCAAACCCATGACAGCTACATCAAAATGAAAACAATTTTAACTAATTATATTGCACTTGGCTGGTTATCATATACAGAAATGTGTCTCCTTCCTAAGGATAAAAGAACTATTATGCCAATCCTTACTCATATTCCAAAGAAACGTGGAAACGCAAACAATTCATAACTATCAACTCATGCATGCCTTCACAGAAAGTAAGAAAATTAACATACAATGTACAACGTTTAGTACATTATACTTCATCTACTCCAAGCATGCATCAGACTATGGAAGAATCCAAGAACAATTGGCAATATTTTCAGGTATCCCTTGCTTATTTTTCATGATTAAACCTTATGTTTGATCCTCAATATGAAACCAATGACCTCCACATCAGATTTGCTGAATGTTTTCTATTTATTATTAGCTACTTTAGCTACAGATTAGTAAATAGATGGGATTGAATGATTACAACCATTACTGTGATATTAAAAGTGTAACTGTAAGTGTATTTAGGTTAATGTAACACAAAGTTATCTAATTACTACAGGTGGTATAATGTTTATACACTATTACTAGGATTAAATATACATCTGTATCAACATTATAAGTATTAAGTAAAGAATAGACCAGGTACAAAGATTATTGTTAAGAAATATCATCCAACACCAGAATCAACTAAAGATAAATTACCATTGTAATTTCTGCTACCTGTGTAATTCAAACAAAAGCAAAAGTTAACATAAAATCTGTTTTGCATGTATATCAGTAGAACAGGTAACAAGTCAATGCTGATAACAGATGTTTTATTTGACTACGCTACACATCAGCATTTAGGTAATGTATTGTAAAGCAACTTAAAACTAGCATGTAAAGCAAGCTTGGTATATAATCTTTATTGTGCACTTTCTATCATAAGCGTGAAATTGTGTTCAGTTGTAATACATTCATGTAGTTTGCTGTTTGAAGAAATGATTTTGTTGTATTAAGCATTTCATTAAAGCAAGAGGCTAAAAAGGTAAATTTTTATGACAGGACTGACAGAGACATAACTGTTTATTTTTTTTCACCTTCAGGGTAGATCGGAAATAAGCTACGTTATAATTAGATCTAGACCTCGTGTGTATCGGTATTGAATGTTGTTTACAAATATTGTAAAGCACTATAACGAATGAATTGGGATACATATTTCTAAATACAGAATACAGTTCCAATCAGTTGAAAACATATTCATGCATGTCTACATTGTATCATTATTATTTTTTATCATCAATTTCTAACAGAGGAAATATATGTATACAATTTGCTCTGATCAATGCCTGTACATGCTTACATATACGTTAGGAATGAACAATTTTCTACTTAATCACATCACATGAAAATACAAAATGTAGTGACTATATAATATAGTGTGGTAATATCATTAATTCATACAGATCTTCAAACTTTTTAAAACTAGAAATCTTTCAACAATCTGAGATTTGTATGTACAGATCACTTCCCCTAATCATATTTCTCAGGCTGTGTCTGACTTTTTATATCAATATATGAAATAGCAAACTAATGTCAAAGGATGTCAAATCATAATGTCGTTATTGAAATATGCAAGAAAACTCATAGAAAATAACAATTTCCAAACACCAATGTATGGTACAAGACCCTCCTTCAATTTGTATTTAAGTGTAGAAGTTTAAGTAAGGTCCAAATTTACTACTACCAGGTTTGACTGGAAACAAAACAAAGTTTGGATATCCAGTGCAACATATATTTTATAATCTGTCAAATGTTCACCTATTCTACAATGTGGTTATCAATGTTTTACTTACAGAAAGTATTATTTTTACTTCCTTTCATAACATTATAGATAACAAAGGACCACATATATTTGTTTGACATACTTCACACAGGGTAATATCCAGCAAAACTTGTATGTAATATAATCCACTGACACTCAAGTTGTAGATTCTCAGAAGGATGATACACAGGGTTCTCTTAAATAGCCAATATGCATTCGACAAATACAGCTCATTTATGACACTTTAAAACTTCCAAGTCACTAATTCAGAGCTCAATCAACAACTCAAGGCAAGCAACTTACACTGTGGGATCTTGTTGAAAAAAAATTCTGAAATTACAAGCATTATAAGCATGAAATTACCTACATAAGACTTATTTTTACTATGTGTGTGAGCTGTTTGTCATTGTAGACCAGTCAGACATGATACCACCAATTAAGATAATGATCTATTTTCATATCAATGATGAAAAGTTCAACTTTTTCGAGGTTTCTTCAATGTAATAGAAAGAAATAACAGTTGTATAAGTTGTATGCATAAGTTTACATTATTATTGCATTTTGTTATGAAACAAACGAAAGCCATCAAAATTCATTCAAGAAAATCTACCGATCAGTAGGTTACTTAGATACAAAATGATCTATGTAGTGTTTAACTTAGCATTGTTTTTGTTTGTTGTAGATGACAATACTGAAGTTCAAATTTATTCTGCTGAACTTTCAGAATTTTAAAGAAAGAATTAAATGAATAAATAGACAAAGGTACGACCAGAGAAGACATGAGAAATTGTTTCAGAGAAATGACAGGTATAATATATAAATAATATCTAAAAAAAAATCTTGGTGTTTTTACACTGGAAAGTAAACCTGTAACATCCCTTCAGTGTTAGAGTTGCATGTTAAGTTGATCAGAAAAGGACAAGTTACAAGATTACAGTGATGATTAAACCCAGCCCTGCTTGTTGTGATGGGTAAAACACCATATACTGTGGCTAATGAACACAACCTAATGAGTACAAGACGCAAACCAGAATATATATCTATATGATTTGTTATACCAAAACAATAATAATCCCAAATATTATATATTATTATGTCAGCTGAACATCAATTTTACCCATCCACAGTTAAGCCAATTCAAGCAGCTCTTGACAATCTGCATTTATTCATAAATATGTAATTGTTGTCTTCTTTCATAATTAAAAACACCGCAAACTAGCCAAAACAGAAAATGTTGTTTTTTTTTCACTAAGAGATAAAAAAAGTCTTGGTAGTGAAAATCAAGTATACCTAGAATTAATGAGGTTTGATATCTAAGATATAAATGTTTAATCAATTAATCAACAATCTGATCAAAATGTCTTTACCTGGTAATTTGACAGAAAAGATAGATATTTTAAGCATAAGAGGTATTGATGTTTGGGGTCAATTAATATCAAAGATATAAATGTGCAATTTCCATTTTGTATCATATGGCATTGATACATGTAATTCACCTATTGTAAGATGTAATAAACAAGGCCAAACCATACAACTATATTGTTCCTCTATAACCATAAATTTAGGTCAATCAGAAATATCATATTCCCATATGAGAACAAGGTTAAGAACAGCGGGGATACTATCGAGCCTCAAACAAGCCAAACATCAATCTCAATATACCTTATGGCAAAGAATTTATTCAGATTTTCAGGGAAGACCATATTTTCACAAGCAGGGAATGATTCGTTATGGTGGGCATCTTATGTTCGTAACATTCTAAATTATTGCCCTTCTAAAATGCTTTTGTTTAAGCTAGGTGGGAAATATAACCCTGTATATTTACAAAAAATAGTAACATTGGTGAAATAGAAACGTTATATGTTACACTTCATTTTTTATTGTAGCCAATCGTTTTCTGTCTACTTCTTGTACATGTACTTACTTTTTATCTTAATCTTGCGTTTTTATGACAAGATCATTTTTTCATACAGATCATTAATTTTCTCTGGAATTTCTATGAATTAAATATTTTGGTTAAGATTTTTTTCTTCTCTTTTGTTTTTTTTTTGTATTTTAATAAAATTACAAAGATTACAGAACCCTTAATGTGCTCAAAAGAATAACACACACCCTTTTTACCCAATGGTTCTATGTTATTTTAGCAGGAAGAAGCTGCCGTGATTAATCTGGTTATGTGCGTATCTAACTACATGCTCTAATGTATATGCTAAAAGCATACCATATATTGTCGTCTATCTGTTAGTGTATACATTTTTGGCACTGAAACTCCTAAAATAATAAATAAAACGTTAAAAAAAGCATCTAATCTTTAAAAAACAAAAAGCTAATATCAGGTTTCATGCAGTGACCTTTTCTTTATTGGTGTTTAAAATTACATATTACTATAATCTGTTGGTACAATATGCACTGTTTTGTGTCCACCATGGCATTAAAAGTAAACAATATTTATATGTATTAATTTGTGATAAAGCAGGTGTAAACTCCATCAACAGCCAGTCCTTCTAAAACTAGGGTAAATGAAATAATGAAAAATCAAAAATCACTTCTAGACTAGGAAAATAGTATAGTGTGCCCTGTCTAAACTATACACTGCATGATTTTGAAACTCAAATTTATTGACCTTTCAGGCAAAAAATTAAACTTTCCATATATATTGCACCTATATTGCCTGGCACTTATCAGAGCATTGTATAAATTTAGACAGGGTTCACTTGAATACTGAAAACAACAAATAATAATTATCTAAAATAAACATAAATATGAAATTACAAATCAAGTTATGAGGCAAAACAATTTATTTCTTCATTAAATTACCATATCAGTTAAACAACAACAATTTAATGTAGTTACAATATACAGTTAAATGAAATGAATTTGCATCTACATTTCCTGACCAAACTTCATTACCACAAAATATCTAGAGACGCTATTCATCAACCACAGTGTTCCTATTTGCATTTTCCAATCAATTTTAACATCAGAAAATGTTTGCAGACACAATGCATCAAAACTGTTCTTAGCTTTAAAGTAAACAACAAAGATTATCAATACTATTTTACTCAGAATATAATATAACACTTATTCAACAAGAGGCCCATGGGCCAAACAGTCATCTGATTACAAAAACTTTCAGCAGGAAGAACGGTTATTTTTTTCTACGTTGAATGAAATCTTATTAGGAAGCTGTTTTCTGTGATGCAGATGGTAGTTTCGTTGAAAGTTAGAGCTCAATCCAACTGTTGAAACTTGAGAAGAAGTTTGAAATAGGTATTGCACAGGAAAACCATGACTGCACAATCATGTTACAAAATGGTCTCTGTGGCTGCTGTATCAAAGGTTTCACAAGGTAAAAAAATAACAACATTTGGCTACCTTTCCTTAACATTCACACCAATTTTTAGCTCAGTGAACCAGTGGAACTGGAGAAGAAATTTAAAATATCCTTTTTCAAGATGGCAGCCATCGTGGCCATCTTGGATTTTAGACATACCCGAAAAATAACAACACTTGCTCAGGACCATCTCAGGATCATTTCATGCAAGTTTGAGCTCAATGCCACTGGTGCCACTTGAGAAGAAGTTGGAAATGTAAAAAGCTTACACACATGGACAACGACCCTTTAGGTCAGATTACCTAAAAATGTATATTCTGGGCAAATCTTGATCTAATTTTACAGCAAAAAACATAGCTTTTTATTTAATCATAAAACTGCTTAAAAGTGAGATTTCATCCTTCATTTCCTCTAGGATACAATATATACTGTCAGTGACTCAGTGTAAGGTTCTTGTGACCATTTATTGTATTTCACTGGTTTGACCAGTACATTTTTTTCAGAACTGTCAGCAAGTTTAGTTTATCATGCATTGAATGAAACATCAATAGACTAGGACTCTAAATACAACAGGAATTTATCATTTAAATGAGAACTTGTATTACAGTAACAAATAATAATAATATAACAACTTAAAAATTCATAACAAAAAAAGTCATATAAAGCCATCTCACAACATTGAAATATGAAAAAAAAAAAGAGAATTTTAAAATGAAGCCTTACCAGCTCTGAGTCTTTGGTTTAAGATCATCGATTACAGCATGTACAAGGTCGAGAGTTGTTGCCTGGCCTCCTAAGTCTGGTGTGTGAACCTACATATGAAAAAAGGGTTATCTATTCATACCATTATCTTCCTCTTGTTATAATATTAGCATTTACATGTGAGAAACATTTTATGTATATTGTCAGAAGAAATCTGTATCCGAGTGTGTAACAAATATCTATAACTCTTTGCATTCCTTCACAAAATACCCAGTTATCCATTTCATTGCAATGTTCAAAATTTGGACACAGCAAAGTCTAACATGCTATGCAAATAAAAGGGTTCATATTAAGCTATAAAAGTTTCCAAATGTGGTGATTGCTAGTAGAACAAACTTAAATACCAACTGTGAAAAAAAAAGCTTGGTAAATACATAATTAACATGAAACTTACAAGTTTGAATTTGTTGTGTGATGGGTATGAAAAGGAATACAGTGTTATTTTAATCACTTATATTGGACACTGTAATATTATAAACACGCCTATTTCAATAGAACTATTATGATGATATGTGTTTTTGTCTTGAAATAGAGCCAAAATATTCACACTCTTCATATTCAAACTTAAAGAAACTAAATTCAGCAAAGTGGAATATACCTTATGTTCATTCATGACTGTCATCACTGAATCTCTGATCATTTCAGCATGTTTATTATGCCTACAATGTTAAACAGGATGGTTCGGTAAACTTTCAGTTACAATAATGGATTATTTTTATTTTTGATATTTTTCTTATTTTCAAATCATTACAGATACTTCAAATTGAAAGAGTATACAAAATATATGCAAATTAACAGCACTTCAATATGAAATTAAGTTTATGAAAAACTTATGACAAAGGTATGAAACAGTAAAGCAATGTAAAAGAAACCATTTTAAATGAAGATCTTTAAGTGTTTGCACAAATACATTTACATTCTTTTTTTTCTGTAATTCAAGGTTTCCAAAATTGATATTAATTAATATACTTTACCCTAAATAGTCAAGCATATCACAGCTAGCAAGCAGCATGCCTGTGGGATTGGCTACATTTTTGCCTTTCAAAGATCGGCCAGAACTTCTTGTGCCCTAAAGCAGAAAAATTTAGTTTGTACAAGCTACAAAGTTCAAAGCTACTGACTTCATCTATGTAAATACAATATTTTCTCATACTTATAAAATGTTGAATCTTAAGTAATTTTAATAGGAAATCAGTCTTTATTCTTATTTCTCACCATAAAGTATTCATACCATTCAAACATCCCACAGAATGAGAGGAGGAGTAATTTTCTCACAATAAAGTATTCAGACCATTCGAACATCCCATGGAATGAGACCCATCCATCAACTCCTCCCTCTAGTGTTTGTATAGTTTAAATTATTCACACGTTTTCAGCTTTTGACATGGTATTTTTCAAACTCCATACCATTTCAAACACAGCAAAGTCTCGTCCAATGTTGACACCTGGCACAACCCCTGGGCCTCCTACCAAACCAGCAGCGATGTTGCTTAAGATGTTCCCATACAGGTTAGGCATCAGTAGTACATCAAACTGCTGCGGTCGGGACACCAACTAAGGAGAAATTTAATTTATATTACAATCTACTTAATTAAAGCTACAACGCTAACTTCATTCCTAATACACATGTACATGTGTATCAACTAGGTAACAACAAGCAGTTTTTTATCGTACTTGCTATTTTAACAGCTTTGATATATACACACAGGACTAATAATGTAATGTATCATAATGTATGATATATGGTGAAGCTAAAAAGTTTAAATGTCTGAGTGACAAAGCTGAATAATTCATTCACATACCAACAAAATTCAAACACATTCATTATTGTTTTTTATATGTCATTTACTTAATGAAGTAAAATAATTAATTTTTCTCAAAATAATCCAAAAGGAAAACAAATGTTTCATAATTTTTACCTTCGTTTTAATTTCATTTCATATTGTAGTTTCATCTTTGCTATTAATCTCACAATGATTGTTAAGAGTAACGAATATTGTATGTGCACGAACATAGAACAAAATAACAGATAGGAGAAATAAATGCATTGTGTCATTTTGGAGATAACTGTTCATCTTGAAATGAATTTTACTACCTTTCTGTTCCAGTACTATTACTGATAATCTTTACAATATAATCACCTGCATGCTAGCATTGTCTACAATCATGTCATTGAACTCTATGTCAGGATACAGACAAGCCACTTGACGACAGCATTCTAGGAATAGCCCATCACCCATCTTCCTGTAAAATATTATTCCATCATTTGAAAGTTTGAGTTTAAAGTAAGATTTCAGTATTACAAATTCAATCCTATCATTGTATAACTTTTAAAATCATTTCAGTCACTTTTTTACTGTTCTTTCTTATTCTTTCCCTGGCTATTGATTTAAGTGTCATACTCATCACACATCCCAAACTTTCAACTGATTTCATTCTTTTTTTAAACGAAATGAATATCACATAAATCTAGGTGCACACCGTTGGATGATATTTAGTAATCTAACAGTTATCATCTTCTCTATAGAAGTCTATTTCTGTATATTTAATGAACCATTTGGTAAAGTTCCAATAACATATAACATTGCATTATGATTTGGTTACAATGTAAATGTGACTCTAAGACAACAACACCATGTCATTCTTGACATGAACCAAAAGGATTCAAAATGTCATACACATCTAGGACTAGGATCCTCATCAAACATGCTTTACAACTAGAATGCATATAGATCCTGCCCCTCTATTACACAAGGTAAGTTTGCTTACATAATATTAGCTTTGTGGATGGCAGTCACCTTCTTCCTCCCTTTCTGCTGAGCATAATCGAATGCATATTTCGCGATCTTTGTTGACTTTTCTGCAGTTATTATTTTCAAACTTTCCACAACCCCTGGAACATTCTACAACATCAATAAATAGTCTTGTAATTTGACAAAAACATTTTTTAAATTTGATATGAGTTTGAAAAAGAATGGACAAATGAATTTTAAAATCCTATATAAAACAATCAGTCTATCTGTAGCAGACTCACAGTCAAAGTGACAATAAAGTTTTACACTCAGTTTCTTTACACTGCACTTTTCAGGATGCAACTTAGTTCTGTGCCTGATCCCATATAAAAATATAGCCTTTGAGTGTACGTTCAATACTAACATTTGATAAATCCTGTTGTTAGTGCAGAAAAGGATTCTAACAATTTTGTTTTTATTTTACTTATGTATGCTACCTTTTAACCCCTGGAGTCCAGGATCGATGGTCTACACAAAATCTGTACCCATTCATACTTCTGACCAAATACTGTAATCCATACATTGCAGAAATAGAAACTTCAAGATATCATTTTAATCCTTTTGTTGAAAAAACTATTAAAGATGTAAAGTCTCCATATTTCAATCCAAAGTATTTTTTCTTTTTGCATTTCACAGGCTTTCATGGCTCAAACTTTCTTTCACTCAGTTTCTAGGTCCTCATTTAGATTATTCAAACCTGTTATGAGACAAAACATACTACACTCCAAAAATTAACAGATGTAATGTACCTCATTTAATAAGGCATCAGATGGATGCTTACTCTTAGTAACTTCATGTACTTTTATAAATATAAGTCATCTTCTTCAGGAGTAAGAATATATCATAGGTTTGAAAAATATGTACATTGTACCATCTAGTGAATGTTTGAAAAAAAAAATCAGCAAAAGGACAAAGTATTGCTTTTATAGACAGACCTCATGCTCCAGGTTGGAGTATTCCCCCTCGGTGTTTTCTCTGATGAGTAAAATGTCTATATCTTTATGTCTGGTAGGTACTCCAGGTAGAGACTTGCACCAAACCACACTGGCAAATAACTGCAGCTGTACCCTTTTATCAGGAAAAAATTGAAGTTTTGAGCACAAAGGCAACTTTATCACTACTATAATACTTTTAAATGGACAAACAGGTTCATCACCACCTTTGTTTTGTAATATTTTAGGCATAGAACATGCTTGTTAGTACATGTTAATTACATATAATAATTAAGACTTCAAAAGGCTTTTTTAGCAAATCTGAAAGCAAAATAAGATCAGTAGGACAATACTTATATTTCTCAACAAACATCTGGTCAACTTGTAAAAGTATCCTATTAATAATAGATGGAGAGTTTCATTTCGGCCTATATTCATTATCTAAATAAACACAATTATTTTGTTGTTAATGATTTTAAACATGAAAATAACACTATTAAGGTTATTTTTTCAGGCCAATTCCAGTTGGTTTAACTTACCTGAGATCAACATTCATGGACCTGAAGCTTGGATCGTCAAATTTTGTCTCAATGTTTCCTGAAATGTAAAATAAAATTGTATCATTTAGTGGTGCTATACCTTTTAATAAGTACTTCTGTGATAAATGTTGTGTCATCTTTTTCTTTTACTTAATTATTTTAACAATTATATAAATTATACCATACAGCCTTATAAGTACCAGTAAAATATCCATTCACAATGGGACCAAAAAAACTAATTGAATCAAACAGAGCAATCAGGTGATTTTTTTTCCATCATGCATAATATTTGTATTTGGAGACTAATTCCTGTTGGATTTTACTGGAAAACTTTTATTAAAAAGCATTGAAATTTATAACAGTTTCTGAAATTCAGAACCTCAGTGACACATTTAATTTATGGGTTGTAGGTTTTCTTTATTCAGAACAAGCTATTCTGATAAAAACTTCTATGTATCAGAATTATTCTTTTTGTTCATAAAAGAATATTTGTCACAAGTTTTGAATGTTTGAAAGGTATAAGGATACATTACTATATCTTTGAAATGCAAAGGTTCAGTCCTTATTACACAAATAATACTCTAACCTATTTATATGTGTCATTGAATAACATGGGGTTTGGGTACATTAGCTTCACAAATCCTGGCCAACTGCTAGACATGTAGATTACATAGGGGCTATGGTACATAATCAATTTTCAGTCTCTCCATGAGATGATGTCTATGAGCAGAAAGAGTCATGAAGAAAAAAAGTCATGTAACCAACCACTCACGTTGAGAATCCACCAACAAACCAAACACCCATGTTAGTTAGTTTTATTATTATGTTATACTGACATAAGAAACCCTATATTTTGAAAGTATTAAGTAATATCAAGGGAAAATATCTTTAATTACTCAAGTACAAATAAAAAAAAAATGTACTTATCACCTTTTAGAGCTACTCCATTCCGCTGTACTGACAACATGGCTTTCTGAAGGAAATCTGGATCCGAAGAGTTGGCATTGATTTCTATCTGTTCAAAGTCAACAGGAGCTCCAGCATACCTTTGTAGGAATATCGAGCCAAAATCAATTCCAACTGCAGTTTTAATTTCTCATCTAAACCTTAATTCAAAACATAGTACCTGCACAACATACTTACAATTTCTTTCAGCAAAATACAAATTTACTTAAGATAATTTTTTTTCTTCTCAGGAAAATTTTGTAAAAGAAACACTTTGAAGGACTGTTTTATCGAGCCAAATATTAATCAAACAATACCCAGTAGTTGGATATACACTGCAAGTAAATGGCCTTTTGCATAATTTACATATCAAATGAACACTACAATGAATCAAAAGATCGATTTCAGAGAAATTGATTTGTAGAAGCATATGTTCAATTGTTGTTATGAAGTTCATGCTGTTTTCTTCATTTTTTCTTTCTTATCTTCAAAACTATGATAAGCCAATAAAAGGGCATGGTGCTGGTAAAATAAAAATGAGTATCACACATTATATAAATCCAACCTGAATATCTCCTGGACGTGAGCAATAAGTTCTGGTCCAACTCCATCACCAGTCAAGGCTGTAACCATATTTCTACCTCCATATTTGGCAAGATTCTAAAGTATCAAAGGTAAAAAAACAACTTTTTAGAATACACAACAGCTATGTACAAGTATATATATAATCCGCAATGCATACAAATGAAAATGTCTAAATATGATAATAAGATTCCAAAGTGAAACAAATATCATCAAGATTGATTCAATTCAATGCAACTTTCAATTTTCTAAACATACAATCATTTATGATTTTATTGTGAAAAGAATGCAAGCATTATAAATAATTGTAAACAATAATTTTGACCTGTGTAAATGTACGAATGGTATAGAATGTTAAAACATGTTCAGTCTAATGATCATAGTTTACCTCGCCAGTATAGTCTCTTTTCTGGCATATCTTTGTCTGCACTGTGACACATGGTTTAACAATCTGAAATTTTTAAATTAGATAAGTTGATTAAAAACCACATCGTGCTAGCTATAGAAAGCATTGACGAGTATAGTAAAGCGCGCATTTACAAGATCCATTAATACATTGTAAACTGTTAGCTTTGTTCCTATAGTATTCCCCTCCAGAAAACTCAAATTATATAGTTCATTCATTTCCTTTAATTACTTCAAGGGCGCAAACCAAAAATGCATTTCAAATCATTTCCAGATAGAAACTCATGCAGTTGTAATTGCGCAACCATTCTTTATATTAAAAATGTTTGTCAAACCCATCCCGTCAAAACTGGTTACGGGAAAATATTACTCAATGTCATTGTAAAATTATCATGATTTCAGATAGAAATAAAATAGATAACAAGCATCAATAGTTTAAATTAATCAAAGTGTGATTTTTTTGTTCTATAAATACTTAAATGAAACCTCACTCTTTGAGAATCTTTGACCAGAGAACCTAAAAGATTTGACAACTTTCTCGCTCGCAGACGATGCATGGTCGCGGCCATTGGTGCTGTGACAACTCAGGGTCATTTCAACGCTTCGTTGCCTTGCACACTCTCATTAAGCGTCTTTCTGATTAGGAAATAATCTAGATCCGACTTTTTTCTCCTGGAAAAAGTGACCTTTAACTGCGTTGAAAGCGAAGTAAACAAAACCATGATCTAGAGTCAGAGACAGTGACAATGTGACAATTAACGGAGACGCTTCTTTCAGGAACTTGATACAGCTACGCTGCAGGTTATATGGTGTTAATTGTGAAAACGTTATTTTAAACTCGATTTATGGATGAATAGAAAAACGTATGAAAGTAAGCAATGTAAAATCTGACAGATGTCAGGTAACTGAGTCTGGTGAAGATATTTTGATGTCTACTTTACATACATGATCTCCTGGTATATCAAGTTTAGTCAAATTTGGATTTTTTCTTTTGGTGTAAGCGATCTAAATGCAAAATGAGGCTATCACTACCAGCAGTGGTGATGACACTCTATCCAAACATCTACACTTTAATCCTTAAACCTCAGACATATATACATTGTACATACATGTACATGTGTAAATTGTACATGTATGTATAGACTCATCTGAGCAGTGCTCAAACACAAAACGTACTTTTGATGCTACCTGAAAATGTTTAGGGGAGCATGAAGTTGTCACTATGTCTGCATTCGTCCGTCGTTCGTCCTTTATATTAGCATAACTTTGTCCACAGTAACTGTATAATCAAAGATCATGAAACTTGGTGTATACAGTCATCATACTAATGAAATATGCAGTATACAGAATACAGGGTCTGCAGACCTGGATTACAGAGTTATTGCCCTGTGTTAAAAAATTGTGTCCAATGTAGTAGTGTCATTATTTGGCAGTATTGCTTTTAACATATTTATAGTAGTTTAGCTATATGTGTTCGTATATAACGGAAATCAGCCTACCGTAAATATTGTATGTGGCGCATCGCAGCAAAACTTATAGCGTGCACGCGGAAATAGCATGTGCGAATGTGAGTGAGATACTGAGGGGATGTGATGTAATGTGTAGTACACCTATTTGTCCTGCACGGATTGTCTGTGTTTAGTAAGCGAGTGTTGAATGTTGGGAAGTTTACCTGGCACATTGGTCACATTTGAACAGAACACCCAGAGCTACAACATTGAAGTATGATAATAGCCAGCCTAGCGACCATGAGAGGTAGCGACATTAGAGCCTAAAAATACTGTAAACTTTTTTTATTATTTTATTGATAATAAACCTATGAAGCAAAAAGAACCCAGGAGTTGTTTTGATGAGGTCAACAACAACTATTACACCAATAAAAATGTTTTCACCGATTTTCTTGTTTTTGTACTCAGAGGAAAGATTTGTCATGAACATTTCCAGCTATATTAAAATCACATATAGCTGTTGTTACATGTACATTTAACTTTTGGAAGGTTCAACGCTATCAGTATAATAGCGGATATTAATGGAAGTCAGAACCTCATTAAGATATAGAATATTTAAAATGTTGTGATGTCATTCTTTATAATGATATTCTAACTTCTTTTACATGAAAATGCAGACAATATTTTGGTTTGTATTGTATTTTGTAAAATATGTTATATCCAGTTTTGATTCAGTACATTTCTTTTAATTATTCTATTATGAGAAATGTAGAGAAATCGGTCATAAATGTTTTGAATAAGAACCAAAAATAGAATAAGTGTTTGACCACTGTTCCAGTTTGAGCTGGTCAGGATAGTCTAATACAGAAGGAAAATAACTAGACCCAATAGAGACTTCTCTTCTGTTAGCTTCTATTTGTTCACTGAGCTGTGAAGTCATCACCTTTTCCATCACAGTGGTTGTCAGATCTTACATACTTACATATAATTAGTGTGGGCTTTGCACTGACTGGTCTCACCAGAGCCATCTTTATGGGGCCAGTGAGAAATGAATCTCATTTTCATAACATGAACAATTCAAATAAATTAAATGGCTTATCATAAAACTTACTTAAGTCAATCAGAAAATTACTAAGCTGTTTAATGCCATTTATTTAAAGATTGTTTTCTTCATTTTTCAAGCAGAAAGTGGTAGTTTAGCTGTGAATACCTTAAACATGTAAACATATTTCTGTTTTATGAATATCAAAAGTTCACAGAAATTATTTGTCAAATAAGTTAACACAATCAGTTTGAGAATTAGAAAGCTTTCTACTTTTCTTTACTTTGGAAAGATGGTGTATAAACACAGCAACAGTAGTTAGCTCAAGTTTCTTCACTAAAGCATTACAGAAAGATATAGGCAGTATCTTGTATACATCCCCCTTACAGAGTGTGGTATCAGAATTATGTTAGTGAAAGATGTATTTGTATCATGAATCAGATTTTTAAATCTTGGTCCCAAATTAGGGACAGCATATATTTGATTTTAATGTATTGTGTAAAAATTAATAGAAAAAAATATTGATCAGGTAGATCATTTAATCAAAATTTTTATGGGTAACAGATGAATGGAGGAGTGCATCCAGCATTGTGTTAAACCATGACAAATGGAGGGAATGAATAAACAGATTATTTTGGCTATAAAGAAGAATGACGTGGAAAAACTTCTACAGATAGCAGTCATGCCTGGATGTGATGTTAACTATGTTTCTACCAGAAAACTCACCCCGCTGCTGTATGCTTGTAAACAAGGTCAGATAATTGATAGTTTGATAGTCGTGTTCATGTTCTGATGAAATAGAATCATTAATGTGTACATGTAAACTTGTACCTATAGTGAAAAATGTCAAAATTTTTAGCCTTCAGATGTTGGGCTGTTCATATTGCCTTGCATCAGGGGTCCATCATCTGTCTTGCTATTTCTAAGAGATTTTTCTCCAAATTTATCATGTTTTCAGCAAGTAACTGGAAAGAAGATAAAAGGAGGGAAAAGATAAAAACAGAATCAATAAATATCATACAACGGAAAGTGCCAAGACCCTTTAAGATCTCTTGTATTAATGAAATATAGGACTTGTGTTTGTGTGTACGTATGATATTGATCCTTTACTTGAAAAGTCTTGCATTTAAAAATTTAAAGACAAATCATTATCACAAAATTTAAAAATTCTGATGTTTATATGCAGGTGGTGTATCTACCCTCCTCATAGAAAAGCTTGTAGCTTGTGGTGCTGATATTGAGTACAAGGACAAGGAGGAAAAGACTCCATTCTTCCATGCTTGTGCCAAAGGAAATAGGGAGCTTATCCGTACCCTAATTAGGATAGGCTGCAACAAAAACAAGGTAACCATGTTTTTAATTCAGCAAAATACTTCTTATCTTTAAGAGACCATCTGTAAAAATTGAATTGAGATTTCCTTTTCTCTTTTTTTTTTTTTATAAAGGCAAATATGTATAAAATGGACATACATGTATTAAGTGATTTTATGTCAGTTGGTGTATCATTCTTTTTTAATTGAATTTTAACACAAAGTTATTACAAGGTAGGGTGTGCCGTTAAGTAAAAATTGATTTTGTTTATCTGCAGCCCAATATACATGGTGACCGACCAATACACGAGGCAGTGATACATGGTAACACAGAGGCAGTTCTAGAACTTTTGGATCAAGGCATTGATATCAATGAGGGTAACCGAATAACTGGTCACACTCCGCTGCACCTGGCAGTGTTACATGAGCAGACAGATATGGTTGAATTACTCCTACAGAAGGGAGCCCCTCCTGACAAGTAAGTAAATTGAACCTCATACCTGATATGTTGCCTGTAACAGGCGATCATGGATGTTCTGTGTCATTTTTCAAATATAATATATTTGGCCTATATGAAAATATTGCTTAGATATTGTAAAGTCAACTGATTCTTGCAGTTTATTTGCATTCATTTCACAACAAATTACTAAATATGCATTATTGGGAAAATGAAAATTAAATTTAATCAGGAACACATCAAGTCAAATTGGTCATGATTGTGTGATGAACATCACTTTCACAATAATGTATAATTTTCATGGGCACCATATTACTGCTCGAATTCTTTTAATTTCTGTGAAGACTTATAATTGTCAATGTTCTTCTATAATGATAATCCCTAAGATTTTAAATCACAAAAGGAAAATGAATTAAGAATACATCTTTAGCTCACCTGTCTTACTTGTTGAGACATGTTCAAGTGAAAAATTTTCTTTAAAGTGATAAAAATTGTTTTTAAATCTGCAGAATTTCAATATTGGAATATTTTGAGTCAGATGCTTTACAAGTATGATGCTATTTTCTGTTTCAGAGCTACATCAGAGGGAGAGTCAGCTTTACATTACGCTGTTCAGATATCCTCTCCTCGAATTATTAAACTCCTTGTTGAAAATGGTGCAGAAATAGACAAATTCAACAACTGTGGTGAGACACCTTTTATTATAGCTGTCCAGGAAGAACGAATCAAACATGCCCGGACACTGGTGAATGGTGATTGTGAAATGGAAAAACATCGGTACAGCTCAGCCTTATGTACTGCCTGTTCAAGGGGTAGTTACAAGATGATAAAGTTTTTGCTCTCGGAGGGTTACCCCATACACAAAGACAGGTCTTTCATAGCTAGCTCATTCCTTGTTTTGGAAGAGAAGCAGCCAGAACTGATGGACTATCTCCGACATCGCTGTGTCAATCCTCTCACCTTAAAAGAGATGACACGTATCTATTTAAGGAGATGGTTCAAAGGTGACTTGAAAAATTCCATCTCATACACTGGTCTTCCAACTCAACTTCAGCAATGGGTAGTATCCGATATCATTTACTGATTCCATTCCCAACATTTTTGTCTTAAAAGCATCACATTGCAAAAACTTTCCATATTTGACCTAATTAGCGGACATTTCCTGCTAAGCTTACCTCCATCTGTTTCAGAGAAATAAAATGGTTGCATTGACGAGAATCTACTGTAGACATCAACAGACAATTGTGTTAATTGCTCTTTCGGTGTGTTTTGTAGAAGGATTTTACATACAAAACGCATATTTAACAAATACGAAATAGAATGAGGATATTTAACGTTAGGATACTTACTTTATCATTGGTTACGTTAAATCTATGTTCAGAAATCATCTTTCTTTCATTGGGTTGTTTACACTAACAACAAAATGACAGAGTGATTTTTACATTCAATCTCTTGTCATTAATGACAGGAAAAACTTGATAAAACTTTTGAATAAATTTGATCATAAAGAAATGAGTGTGTTTATCGACAAAATCAAATAAGACTGTACAAAAATGGGAAATAAATGATGGGCAATCGAGCAATAACTTACATTTTATGGTTCAGTGACCAGATTAACACTCTTACTTTCAGTTTCTGTTATTCTATAAAAAGATGTTGTTGTATTTTCATGTTTCTGCTTAATTCATACAATATATAGAGTAGATGAATGACAACATACCAAATATATACCACAGCCACAAATCAGCCTTTAATTGAAGCAGATTCATTTCGCCATTTGCTCTGTAAAGCTCATGTGCAGAGGACTACGTCGCTTTCATGTTGGAAATGAGGAAATTTGAAATGGATATGAAAAGAGTTAATTAAGCCCACTCATTTTGTGTTTTTGCAAGCACACAATCCATTTAATAGGTCAAATATGGCATAAGGAAGTGTTCGAAGTGTTCTAAGTGTTGTAGTGTGTGTGTAACTTTCTTTTTTTTCTCTTTTTGACTCCTTTTTGAAAATCGCTTTGTTATTTAGAGTACATGTAGTACTTACTTTCTATTTCTTGAGATAACACCGTTTGATGTCTGTTTGGAAAAGATGATAGATCTATGTACAGTACATGGAACATAGCTGATCATTCATGAACTTTTTTGCTGTTACATATACATTTTTGTATTGTTATTTCATGAATTAGTTATGTTAAGGTAAAAAGATGTATAATTACACAAGTGATTCCAATTAATTACCTCAATTGTTAGCATTAATGCATGTTTACTTCCGTCCCATGTTTGATACTTTCTCTGAAATTTTCTACCAAATAGCTTTAATGTTAATCACTAGAATATTTCTAAATATCTGGTAGATGTTTAAAAGATACATGTAAAACATATACATTTAATGTTTGTATTGACAATCAAGCCTTTATCTAATGATGGAAAATATTCTCTATAAGAGTTGTGTACCTTGCACACTTGATTGATGTCAAATTTGACTACATAACCAATGGACTGTGTTTATATGTAGGCATTTCATGTAAAATTTCTGCTGTTGATGACATTTCCTAGGAAGCAGACATCTGTTTGTTACCAGTGATAAAATCATGCTTGGTAATAGACCTACTTGTAGATATTACTATGGAATTATAATCAAGGACCCTACCCCTGACTTTGAGTAAGGTCTGTTCCAAAGTTATTTGTTGGAGGGGTGGACGCATTTTTTCAGAAATCTTTATAGTTACCATTGATCAAATATTGAAATATATTTAGCATTAGGAATATAAGAAAAATGGTGATTACTACCACCGTCCATCAAAAAGTGCCTCCAACCCCATCCACTCAGATATTTTTGTAGTAGCCCTATATGTGTTTACCATACCTTATTGTAGGATAGATCTGATGCCTGTTGTATACAAAAATAATGAAATATGTACAGAATTTATATGCTCTAGAATAAAGGAAAAAATCTATTTCAGGTGCTGAAAATTGTAATATTTGTCAAAGTTTAATTATCCTATTCGGTGAATAGCATGCTCTCTTGAAACTATGAAAATAATGATGTCTCCATTTCATGTTTAATCTTAATGTTTTGCTATTAAGAGCTCTGTATACTTTGAGTATCCAAAATGGACTGACACCAGGCCTAGGGTGTAGTAGGGGTTATTATTGTATTGTTTTGATTGTCTAGAGACTGACACCAGACCTAGGGTGTAGTAGGGACTATTATTGTATTGTTTTGATTGTCTAGAGACTGACACCAGACCTAGGGTGTAGTAGGGGTTATTATTGTATTGTTTTGATTGTCTGGAGACTGACACCAGGCCTAGGGTGTAGTAGGGACTATATTGTATTGTTTTGATTGTCTAGAGACTGACACCAGGCCTAGGGTGTAGTAGGGGTTATATTGTATTGTTTTGATTGTCTAGAGACTGACACCAGACCTAGGGTGTAGTAGGGACAATATTGTATTGTTTTGATTGTCTAGAGACTGACACCAGGCCTAGGGTGTAGTAGGGACAATATTGTATTGTTTTGATTGTCTAGAGACTGACACCAGGCCTAGGGTATAGTAGGGACTATTATTGTATTGTTTTGATTGTCTAGATTGTTTTGATTGTCTAGAGACTGACACCAGACCTAGGGTGTAGTAGGGGTTATATTGTATTGTTTGATTGTCTAGAGACTGACACCAGGCCTAGGGTGTAGTAGGGACTATATTGTATTGTTTTGATTGTCTAGAGACTGACACCAGGTCTAGGGTGTAGTAGGGGTTATATTGTATTGTTTGATTATCTAGAGACTGACACCAGACCTAGGGTGTAGTAGGGGTTATATTGTATTGTTTGATTATCTAGAGACTGACACCAGACCTAGGGTGTAGTAGGGACTATTATTGTATTGTTTTGATTGTCTAGAGACTGACACCAGGTCTAGGGTGTAGTAGGGGTTATATTGTATTGTTTTGATTGTCTAGAGACTGACACCAGGCCTAGGGTGTAGTAGGGACTATATTGTATTGTTTTGATTGTCTAGAGACTGACACCAGGTCTAGGGTGTAGTAGGGACTATATTGTATTGTTTTGATTGTCTAGAGACTGACACCAGACCTAGGGTGTAGTAGGGACTATTATTGTATTGTTTTGATTGTCTAGAGACTGACACCAGACCTAAGGTGTAGTAGGGGTTATATTGTATTGTTTTGATTGTCTAGAGACTGACACCAGGCCTAGGGTGTAGTAGGGGTTATATTGTATTGTTTTGATTGTCTAGAGACTGACACCAGACCTAGGGTGTAGTAGGGGTTATATTGTATTGTTTGATTGTCTAGAGACTGACACCAGGCCTAGGGTGTAGTAGGGGTTATATTGTATTGTTTTGATTGTCTAGAGACTGACACCAGGCCTAGGGTGTAGTAGGGGCTATTATTGTATTGTTTTGATTGTCTAGAGACTGACACCAGGCCTAGGGTGTAGTAGGGACTATATTGTATTGTTTTGATTGTCTAGAGACTGACACCAGGCCTAGGGTGTAGTAGGGACAATATTGTATTGTTTTGATTGTCTAGAGACTGACAGCAGGCCTAGGGTGTAGTAGGGGCTATATTGTATTGTTTTGATTGTCTAGAGACTGACACCAGGCCTAAGGTGTAGTAGGGGTTATATTGTATTGTTTTGATTGTCTAGAGACTGACACAAGGCCTAGGGTGTAGTAGGGGTTATATTGTATTGTTTTGATTGTCTAGAGACTGACACCAGGCCTAGGGTGTAGTAGGGGTTATATTGTATTGTTTTGATTGTCTAGAGACTGACACCAGGCCTAGGGTGTAGTAGGGACTATATTGTATTGTTTTGATTGTCTAGAGACTGACACCAGGCCTAGGGTGTAGTAGGGACAATATTGTATTGTTTGATTGTCTAGAGACTGACACCAGGCCTAGGGTGTAGTAGGGGTTATATTGTATTGTTTTGATTGTCTAGAGACTGACACCAGGCCTAGGGTGTAGTAGGGGTTATATTGTATTGTTTTGATTGTCTAGAGACTGACACCAGACCTAGGGTGTAGTAGGGGTTATATTGTATTGTTTGATTTTCTAGAGACTGACACCAGGCCTAGGGTGTAGTAGGGTTTTGATTATATTGTATTGTTTTGATTGTCTAGAGACTGACACCAGGCCTAGGGTGTAGTAGGGGTTATTATTGTATTGTTTTGATTGTCTAGAGACTGACACCAGACCTAGGGTGTAGTAGGGGTTATTATTGTATTGTTTTGATTGTCTAGAGACTGACACCAGGCCTAGGGTGTAGTAGGGACTATATTGTATTGTTTTGATTGTCTAGAGACTGACACCAGGCCTAGGGTGTAGTAGGGACAATATTGTATTGTTTTGATTGTCTAGAGACTGACACCAGGCCTAGGGTGTAGTAGGGACAATATTGTATTGTTTTGATTGTCTAGAGACTGACACCAGGCCTAGGGTGTAGTAGGGACTATATTGTATTGTTTTGATTGTCTAGAGACTGACACCAGACCTAGGGTGTAGTAGGGGTTATATTGTATTGTTTTGATTGTGTAGAGACTGACACCAGGCCTAGGGTGTAGTAGGGACTATATTGTATTGTTTTGATTGTCTAGAGACTGACACCAGACCTAGGGTGTAGTAGGGGTTATATTGTATTGTTTTGATTGTCTAGAGACTGACACCAGGCCTCCTAGGGTGTAGTAGGGACTATTATTGTATTGTTTTGATTGTCTAGAGACTGACACCAGGCCTAGGGTGTAGTAGGGGTTATTATTGTATTGTTTTGATTGTCTAGAGACTGACACCAGGCCTAGGGTGTAGTAGGGACTATATTGTATTGTTTTGATTGTCTAGAGACTGACACCAGGCCTAGGGTGTAGTAGGGACTATATTGTATTGTTTTGATTGTCTAGAGACTGACACCAGGCCTAGGGTGTAGTAGGGACTATTATTGTATTGTTTTGATTGTCTAGAGACTGACACCAGGTCTAGGGTGTAGTAGGGACTATATTGTATTGTTTTGATTGTCTAGAGACTGACACCAGGCCTAGGGTATAGTAGGGACTATTATTGTATTGTTTTGATTGTCTAGAGACTGACACCAGGCCTAGGGTGTAGTAGGGGCTATATTGTATTGTTTTGATTGTCTAGAGACTGACACCAGGCCTAGGGTGTAGTAGGGGCTATATTGTATTGTTTTGATTGTCTAGAGACTGACACCAGACCTAGGGTGTAGTAGGGACTATTATTGTATTGTTTTGATTGTCTAGAGACTGACAGCAGGCCTAGGGTGTAGTAGGGGCTATATTGTATTGTTTGATTGTCTAGAGACTGACACCAGGCCTAGGGTGTAGTAGGGACTATTATTGTATTGTTTGATTGTCTAGAGACTGACACCAGGCCTAGGGTGTAGTAGGGACTATATTGTATTGTTTGATTGTCTAGAGACTGACACCAGACCTAGGGTGTAGTAGGGGCTATATTGTATTGTTTGATTGTCTAGAGACTGACACCAGGCCTAGGGTGTAGTAGGGGTTATATTGTATTGTTTTGATTGTCTAGAGACTGACACCAGACCTAGGGTGTAGTAGGGACAATATTGTATTGTTTGATTGTCTAGAGACTGACACCAGGCCTAGGGTGTAGTAGGGGCTATATTGTATTGTTTTGATTGTTATCTCTAGCTGGCTAGAATTTTGAGCATTTTTATATAAGACTACATGTTGTTATATATTGCATATAATAAAATGTTGAAGTTTTTGTTTTATATAATATTGTGTTTTATTATGTCAAAATGTCTCCAACTTTCAGAAAATGTGCATTTCTGCAAGGTAAACTCTTTTGTAAAGGAAAGTATAACAGGGGTCGATACGAAAAATTAATTGCTCATTTCAACATTATATTTAATCTTTCTTTCTTTCTTTTCTGTTAAAAGTGTGGAATTATCATATTTTTCTTTGATGGTAAATCATCAGTCTTCAATACAGGAAAGGAAATGAAGAATGTTCTGAACCGGAAACATCGACATTTTTTGTCATTGAATCAGTGGTCCTGTTATGAATTAATATTTCTCGATATTAAGCTACTTTTTGAGATACCCGAACCCATCACAATTCTTGCACGTGCGGAAGTCATCTATCAGCCCTGTTCTTTTACACCCGTATATTTGTCAGGGTGATTGTAAGCCTTAAAGAGGCGTCCAGTTACCTCGGAAGTCAGTGCTGCACCGGCGACACCTCCTACCGCAAGAAGTCCTAGAATTGTTCCACTCATGCTCCCAAAAAGCGCTGCACATCCCCGGGCTGCTTTCACTCCATCCCCTCTCCTAGCATAACATGGCCCTAGAAAGTGGGCTTCAGCAGTATGGCTGATGCCTGTCACCGCATCTCTAAGTAACACATTTGCTAATTTTGTAATTTCTCCAAAAACTAACTACATTTCATCCTTTTTCGCGGCATTAACGCTCATTTCGTTATTATTTCTTGCCGGTTATATAGCAAGTAAAAGAGATTTTGGTTCCCCTTCAATAGCAAATTTCATCACGTGGTAATTTATCTTATCATATAAAACCATGGTATAGATCTTCCTTTCTCTTATTTGTTCGAATATTTTTTCCGGTTAACTCGAGGTGATCGGTGTCGCATATGACGTTGGGTGTTGTGCATATTCGTAGTAGGTTACACTATATCGATATTTTTCCTTCGTTTCCTTCGACATAACGAGTTACAGGTTCAAATACATATCTGAAAAATAACAAACAACTTAATTTCGAATTCATTATATCAACAGAGATATATCATCATCGTATAGAAAATTATAAACCGTAGATCTTATTCTGATATAGTAGCTCTCCGTGAAATTGTATATACTTCACCATGACGCATTCGTTATTATTTTGTCGATGTCCAGTTCAAATTATTGAAAATAAGTGTTTCAATTTTATATCACTTAACAAATACTAAGTTATTGATGTGCGCTGAAAAAAGTGATTCTTATTGTAAATAACTATAGTAACACAAGTACATTGTATGATAAGTTCTGTATTCTGATGAGTTATAATGGTTCATGATTTATATAGTGTCCAAGTACGTACTTAAAATTATTTTAGCATTATCCTATATTGGAAATGAAAGAAATTAATTGAATTTTAATCATTCGAAACACCCGTACCAAAGAGGGAGGAAAAAAGTCAGGCCGGCCCTTATATATTTTTATATTTGAAACCCGTCCTTATTCCCACTAAATTTAATTTGGGTATTAGGGAATAACTTCTTCGTTCCTGACACGATGCAGCATGCATATAAACAATTCTTGTTTGACATTTTTCTTAATAGCCAGGTATTTTGTGAAGAATTAGATATACGTGATATCCTTTCACAACTTTAAACATCAGTTATTAATATAATGATAAGTTTATAATGGAAGATCTGTTTCAGCATGCGGTTGGAAACGAAGACTGATGTTAACTATCAATTTAAAAACTAGATTAATTTAAGTGGTACTATATCCACATAATAGCACCCTTTGGTTATGAGTTCAGTTTGATTATATCAATTTGATCGCAAATTTTGCAATTAAAATAATGACGTATTTTGTTTAATCTACAGAGTTGTTTTAAATGATCTAGGGAAGGATTTTGCAGTGTTTGTGTTCATAACACAAGGCAGATAACTTTGTTCCTTATAACCGTTTACCTATAACTTCAGGAATTCCTTTAAATATCACCAGTATCCATGTCAACATCAGTGCTGAGTACTGATTGGATAGTTTGATATATCCTTTAGAACGACAAGCCCTGTACACTTGTTTATCTCAATGTAAAGAAATTTTACGAATACAAATTCCGATTTACTTCAATAAGTCCCATATTTCAGAATGTATGTGGAATATATGAAAGCAAGACATGCTGGTCCGGGATTGGAACCAAATCGTCACAACTAAGAGAATTACTAGGAAGAGAATACAATATGATTCCGTGACTTAGCTTATAAAATTATAACATCAACGTACTACTTTTTAGAAAGTCTCATTTCCCATTTCTCATTTTCTCGTCCGTTGTAAGTAGTTCAGTGGATGTTGTTTCTGTGTGTATGTTAAGGAAAAAATATACAACATTGGCATCGTTCATGAATTAAGACATGAATACTTTCAATGATGATATTTCGAACACTGTGTAACACGCCTCCACATAGGGTAGAATATCATTTTTTCACTATTCCACCGGATACCCGGATTTTTTTTTCGAATTTGCTATGTATTCTTTAAATAACAAGTTTTCATAATAGAAATATTTGTGCATAAACGTAATGTCAAAAATTCACAAAGTCTTAAAAAACTGATATTGATGCGACCTGTTTCACGATTTATTTTTAACTGAAGAAGAAAAGAGAGAACACTCACCAATACAACTCGCGATGTGGTTTCAGTCTTACTGAATCGTCCTGTCAATATGCATGTCTGATTACATGCTTAAGTATCCATCAGAGTGATATATTTTCTGATTTGGCAGGATAAACATACTTATCATGTGTATAATCAATAAAAAATGTGGCCTTCATTTATCTATTGATTATCGTTATCATTTAGTACAACAATAAACTCGTTTATTCCTTTTGGAAGTCTGAAAAAGTAATAGCATAGTCATTTTTAAAGCATGGGATTTGAATTCAACTACTGAATTTGAAGATACATTATAAAAATGATACAATTTTATATCCCATGGTATTGATTCTATTATTTCAAAAAAATTGTTTGATACCATAACAAAAAGTTAGAACATGCATTTCAGTCAGTAAATGTTCGATCGTGTTCTGACATGTCCGTCCTATTTGCTATTTCGTGTTGAATCTTTGTAAATACCATTATATAATAAATACACAATCATTTTATATGTAAATATCTATGTTCACGGTGAATCTAAGCGTACACGTGATTACCATCATACAATCATATTTATTTAGATTTATGTTCTATCTGCCGGTATTGATCCTCTAAGCTCTAGTTTCTTCTTGTTAATGTTATGTGAGACGCCTGATATCTCTCTCGTCTCCATTCATTAATAGCTGTCTTGAGAACGGCGACTTCCATCTTGCGATATTCCAACGTTTAAGGTAAGGAAGATGCCCAATACACCTATTATATCTTATATGGTATAAACTTACATGTAAATAAAAATGTGTTTTTGCACTGGTAGTTATATCAAAAGCTGTCCAGTTTGCGTATATAATGTTCTAGGGGTTGTGACTGTAAAGTTGAAACTTTGTGAGTTATTTACCCCGATTAAATTTAAGATAGGTATTAATCCTTTGTACGATATACATGCACGTGAATTTTCTTTTGTTACGATTATTTCTTTAGAAGTCAAAATGAAAATTTCTCGTATAAAAGAAGACCTTACATTTGTTACTTGCGTAGAACCTATCTTAGTTGTCCTACAAATGTCTCTCATCGTCATTAAATCTGTTATCATATTAATCTATCCTATGGTATATAAATAACAAATGAATATTTGTCATTATTATTTGTGTTTTAAATAGAACCTTCATACCTGAAATAACTGAAACAATGATTTTAAATATTAGAATAATCTATCTCAATGAACCTATCAGATATTTCATAAAATGTAAGTTAGAGATATTTGTTTTGAATATTATTTTCAACTATTTGTTGTTTGTAAAATATGAATATTCATTTTATTTCATGTTTCAGACACAAGAAACCAAAAGACTAGAAACAATGCCGAGACGTTACTTGCTAGCAGCGTATGTAAAGGAAGAAGATGAGACTCCGAAGATCTTATCAAATCATACGTTTGATGTCAGAAAAAAAGCTGAAGACGAATTCTTAAGAATAGCAAACAGAAAAGTCCGCAGTACAGTTTTGTACGACAGTCAGACAGACGAAATTATTAAAATTGCAATTGAGGGCGAACCGATATTTCTGGTAAAAGCAATTGAACTTGCCAGAGGAGTAGGCCCAAATTCATATTTAGAGACGGTAAAAAACAAAGTCACCGAAAGTGCAGCAAAGAATGCCATCGAATCCATTGCAAAGGCGTTGCTCGGTGAAGCAGTGCCAGGTATTAGTGATGTCGTCATGGCGCATTTCACCGGTCCCTATTACGCCCTGAAAGGCGATCATGTAGGAGTAGCGGCAACGGCTGGCGGTTTGTGGGGTACTGTCTCTGGAGCTGTGATTGGAACTATCGCTGCTGGACCTATCGGAGGTGTTGTTGGTGGGATTATTGGGGGATCTGCGGCTAGCATGGGAGCTGGTGCGCTTGTTAAGTCGTTTGAACCGCCAAAGGAGCATAAAAAATGCGATAAATGTGATGGAACTGGGTTGTTTCGGGATTTCAGACGATGTCCGTCATGCAAAGGATATGGATACAAAATCAAATGAACATTTAACACTGTAACAACGTTATCAATTCAATTCTATTGTCGAATTTCGAACAGTTCATGAACTGTCAGATTTTTAAATTTTCATTTACTTATTTAAAATCTTTATTATTCATTATTTGTTTAAAATATGGTATCAGCTTCTATTAACAGGTTTGTATGCAATGTTAATTATATCATATTGTATCGTATTATATCGCTTACAATAGTAGTTGATAGGCAAATCTTACTGAAAACAACTGATTTGTGTGTATAAAGTACAGATACGCCGTTAATTCATAAAGCAGTAGACATGATATTAAGCAAACCAGTGATCTTTTGTAAGAAAATAAATGAAACAATAAAACTTTGTTATGCATAAGTCTGAAGTAAACTTTGGAGTAAAAACATCGTTAGACACTTCCATTAATTTTAGGATAATTATGAATTCCATAGGGAACTTCGTCAGAGAGCAGGTGAAATAGGAGGATGATGCGTTGGATTAACCTTGAAAGTGGATTGAAATTTACTTGATTCAGAAATCCTGAGATAACATTAAGACGTATCTCATCTGATCGGTATTTATTGTCTGTCTATTAAGAAACACTTGATGGTGATCTCGAATCAAAAATAAATAATGTGGTTCACATTGAAACTACAAACCGATGCTCAGAAGGCCGCCACGAAGAAACACTTGTGATCAATCTACATACTTGGCATTAATAGAAAAAATGTACAGGTGTAATAGACGTGCTTACAGGTAAAATGCAATGTCGCACGTGCTGCGTGATTTTCGTGACGTCTTATCACAGGTAGAATGCTGTTGTATGTAGATGAGTGCTCACTGTGCTGTCTTGATAGGACATATGTACGTGTTTGTAGCGATCTCTCACAGAAACGTCTGAAGGATTTTCCGTCTGCGGTTCAGCAAAGATCATCAATGGAGACATATTTCCCAAGAAATATCAGCTTCTTTTTTATTAATACCAACGAATGATGTAGTCGTGAGTATTCTCATATAAGCTGATTTTCACTAAATACATATAAATATACTCGGCAGGAAAAGAAACGCACAAAGTTTCTTACTGCAGTACACCTTAACTGTAAGGAAATAATGGAATATTTAGTCAGATATTACATCAAGAATGATCTCCCTTCTCGACAATCGGGACTAAAATCAGGGAAGTGTGACGATGTCATTGTCTGACTTTACGAGTTTCTTTCGTCCAAATCACGCAGCGTGATCAAGCCAAGTCGGATTTTCTCAAATGAATAACTTCTAAGTTCAGCCACATTAATTTTCCACGTTGTCATTTTGATTTCACCATTGACCGAGATGCTACGTTTATGCAGATTCAGAGGGGTAGAGCAATTGTGATGTTGGCGGATGGTCATAGCCAAACTGCTGTCGCATGTCACGTTTCCATGCTACTCATTTGCGTGTAGCAATCGCACGACAAGACAGGGCGATTTGATTGTCGCACTTGCGCAACAGATTCAACTCGGACTGCTGTAGAGACTGCGTTGCATACCTTAGGTACTCATGGCAGACCCAAAAATGCTCAAAATGCCATGAACCGCTTGCGTGCCTACTTTATGTCGGGCCACCTCTGACATCACGGAGGCAGCAAGTGTGGTTTGACTGACTGACTGCCTGACAACATTCCCTTAAGGCGAATTAATGTTCTCATGACTTGATTTCAATGCATAGGAGAATCCGTGCAAGGATTCATGCAAGAGGTGCCCACACCAGGTACTGAAGTTTTTCGCGGATATCCTACTTTGAGTAAATACTGACGACACGAGTGCCACACGTACTTTTCTTCTACAGTATTGTAAAGAGTAGACTTGTCCCTTCATAATGATTTTGTTAAAATTTCCCAAAATAGCATAGGCTATTGATTGCAGAATTTAATTGTGTTTTTTTTATGTTGAGCATATAAACTACATATCATACACACTACCTACACCAAAATCTTACATTCTATATACTACATAACACACACATAACCAATACCAAAATCTACATATTCCATAAATTACATAGCCTAGCCCACATGTTACGATACGAAAACCTACAAATTCCATATACTACACAGCCGTAATAACATATGTTAAAATCTGGATATTACCTTAGATTATATATCCCACACACTATAGCATTAAATCATAATCTACATATTCCATATACTACATACTCTACTCAATACAACACCAAAATCAAAACATTTCGTAACCTACATATCCCACACATCAACAATATCTCGATCTACATATTCAATAAACTGCATATCCCACACTTTATCTAAATCATAATCTACATATTTTACATACTTCTTTTTCCATAAACTGCATATCCCAGATACTACCTACACTGAAATATATAAATTCCATTATGTACTACACAAGTACCAATGTATAAACTTATTCCATTTTAAATATCTAGGTGGATATAAAAATAGCATAGGTTATTGATTGCATGATTTAATTGTGCGTTTCTTTTTTTGTTAACTATAAATTATTGTTTATCTTCAATTTGAGAGTTAATGATAAGGATACGATGGTCATTCTTTATTTTGGATTCCATAAGAAATGGGTTTTATTACTGGTCGTCTAGTTGTTCAAACAAACCCTTATCAAAACCTTTTACATGCGATACTATTGTAGTCAATCCAAGTAAATAATGTCATGTTCTCAAATGAGAACAAGGTATACATCAATGGAACCAACAGGAAAACTAACAAGCATCAAATACGTCCAGCTTTATGTTGCACAAACAAATAGAATAGCTCTCAATGATATCACAAAGGCGATTATAAAATTTTCCCATACTTTTCACCAACCTGTATCTTTTGAACCTTTGTGTTACGATTTTGCCAGTCAGTTGACGGCTCCTTGCACGAAAATCGTGATAATCAGCTGTGACATGTAAATACCATAGGTTGGAGATGCAGGAATTTTGCTATCCAGAAATGGAAAATTCACAATAGGGAAATTGAAATCATTACGTTTATCATACAACTTGATGGAAAGGTGTCCATGTTGGTTCGTAGTAGGACAAGATCGAGATCAGCAGCTGATGTAGAAGAGTCTGCCGTATCTTTGATTCCAACACTTGTAAACGGCTTAGGTTGGTTTCTAGGTCTTGTCGGTGATGCTACATAATACAGCTGGTTTGTCCTTATAGGTCTCGTCAGTGATGCTACATAATACAGCTGGTTTGTCCTAGGTCTTGTCAGTGATGCTAAGGCCTAAATTTTGAAACTTCGGAGGCGACTGATGAAAGTGAAAATTGATCAAAAGAAAACTTCGAAAATGTCTGTAGGGAGTTTTACTATTCCAATAATTCGATAGGTTTCATTATTCTTAAACTTATTAATTACAATTATCTTGTTTTCCCATCTGATACCAGGGGAAATTGTCAAAGACATGCAAGCTGTTAGCTGACTCAAGATCTAGGAAGTTCTTGGTCTAGGTTGTTATACAAGATCATCCTTCACCAATTTTGACATAAACGGCTTGTATACTAGAAATCCCAGACAGACTAAGTTATGTCCAAACCATGACATCACAACACCAAATTATACACCTGACTATCATTTCATGATCGTTGGTCAAGTAAATGGTAATAATTAACCATGTGTGGGTATATCTAGGTGAATCCCAGCTCAGTTTGTTTCTATTAATAAATGTTTTTGTCATGTTCATTCAGTTATCGCCCCGTGAAAAGGTTTCCCAAAGTATCTGGTGGTTACCTCACTAAACAGCATATAGGAGGTCGCATGCCATCCAGCGCGATAAGGGTAAAGTGCATTCACTAGGATAGGCTTTTAATTCACCACTGGCATGGATATTTATCTACATCTAAGTCTGTGAGATAGGACAGGTTTATAATATAATAAAATATAATATAATTCTGTAAAATGGCTAGGTATTGTGTCATCTGTAGCATAAAATACCTGAACACTTAATAACATATTAGGTTAAAAGTAAAATTAATTGTTTGGACCGAACTTACATTACACTTTTTACTAAGTGATTGTAGGTAAATAAAAATAGATATGTAAAGACTATATACTTGATACCATTATTAGATCTCTACGTGTACATCATTGATCACGTTTAAGTTACTGAATAAACTTATTGAAAGGTCATAACCTCTTGTTTGATCATTTTCTGTCGATAAAAATACACCTGTTTATGACGACAAGACAGTGTGTTGTGTATATTTTGTGGCTTTTTTCTTTTAGTTCATCTGACTCGTTTGGCAATTTGAGCTTATGTCGTGTTCAGAGTCCGTCGTCCGTCTGACGTCAAATTTACGTTTTTAACATCTTTTCAATAGCCATCAGGCCTAAAATAATAATATATTGCTGATAGGTCACGTGATCAAGTTTGTTGAAACCTTCAAACAACATCTGATTAACCAAATGACTTAGAAGCGTGATGCTTTGACAGTAGATACCCAGGATAAATCTCAACAAAGTGTGTGAAAGGAAAAGGTTCTTACTAGTTTTCAATGTCACAGGTGTCAAATTTGTTAAACCCTTCAACTACGTCTGATTTACCAAACGGCCTGGAATCCTGATATTTGGTTTGCTGGTACAAACTCGACTTGCACAAAGAAATACGTGTAACCTTGGCATATATTCAATGTCAATCTGTTTCAGAGACCAAGTTTGTTTTTGCAAAAGTCCTTCGAATGACTTCTAATGATTAACGAAGACTTTGAATTTCAAATGTGTGAAAAGATGAAGTACGATGTACATGTATTTGTGAAAATCATTGAATATCAGGTGAGATAAGGACACTCACTGAGCCTCATGTTTTAGCCTAATTTGGATTGATGAAATATTAGACACTTGCGTTGTTTGTTGGGGGTTTTCGACAAATCCCCACATCAGCCAGGTCCATTTGTTTATGTTTAATGGAGCCATTTATAAATGCTTTTATAACGCCTGAAGGCTGATATACATGGATTGTGATTTCCCTCAATCAAGACATTAGATCAGTAATATACACTACTTGTTAAAATGCTAACTGATATACGCACGCATTTTCATTCCGCAAAAAATTCTCCGCATTTCAGTATTTTAAGTTCTTTGATTCTCATTTTATTAGCGGTTTCCCTTCCGTCACTATTCATACTAATGGTATAATACAATAAAGCCTTTAGTTTATCTGGTATTCGAATCACACATATATATATAATATCTATATATTTATATTAAATGTCAATAACTCATATTAGCTCATATTTTCATATATTTATATATATCTGTAAGATCAGGCTCTAGTGTACCTTTTAAACAATTTGGCGAAAGGGTGGAAAAGGTTAAATTGAAATTTTCCAGTATACATCATATCAACAGTAAAACTTCTTTGCTCGGTAATGTTATAAACGTACCGATATGTTTTTTGTTAAGTAAGTTTTAAAGTCTGGGTTGTAGAGTAACGCAGCCAAATAATCAACAACATGAAAAAGAATCTTTCTTTTTATTCAAACAAGTATATTAGCACAGTTAAAAAACATTAAGTTATCAAAGTCAATATATCGGTATTCGTCCTATAACGGTTCATTGGGTTATGATAGCTTATGATGTCACCGCCATAACGCATTTAGTAACTTTTAAATTCTTTGAAGTATATCAGTTTCGTTATATACGAATTTTTAACTCATATAAAACGTAAGAAGATAGACCATCAATATGATTAATCGCTTACACTGGTTATGTTTTAAAACTCACATCAAAAGTCCTATATGTTACACAGTGAGTTGATTGGCTTAAATTTTCTTACTATGGCATTAAAATCATGTATTTCAAAGTAAGAGAAAAACGCTGATCAAACATAGGCTTAGTTTGTAAATATTGTCATGACCGATAATGCTTAAATGAAACAGAACGTATTGATGATGGCCAAGAACGATAATTCCAAACGACTAGCTATGATTGTTTCTGTTTTTATGGTCGTAGTGATACTTGTAGGAAACAGTGAAGTTTGGCTAAACATTTTCTTTAGAACTAAGTTTACCTAAACGATTAAAAAACATAATCTGATGAAGGATATCATGCATAGTATATGTTTCTTATAGATAGAATGTCTACGACATGTTTTCCGTCAGATAAATGTAAAAATAATCCTGGTAAAATGTATTTGATCGCATTTAAATATATATTCGTGTATATATATATATATATATATATCCATTATTTCAGGTAGTCATTAGAAATGGCCACCTTTAACAAAAAACGAACACTTCACTCACAAATACAATAAATTAAAAGTCACACGCACGCACGCACTTCTCCGTGAATTCACACAATTATCCTGTGGTGTGAACATTCATATGTAACTTTAGTTCAAATGAAGTGGCAAATATTGTGCCGCAGACACCACAAGAGCATGCTTTCTCCTTCGCATGCGTCCTCCGCACGTGACTGTCGTGTGCAGCATGTGACGCAAAGGCTTTACCACAATGACGACACTGAAACACACAAGACATTTACGAGTTATCTCCCTTCTCTTTAAAATCCATATAAATACTTTTTCCCCTTCGGTATCAAATTTTCTTTCCTTCATATATTGTCACATTATTTTAAAGTGTCAATGTCTTGAAGATATCAATCAAGATTATAAATAAATTCTTTTTTTTTGTCACATTGTTTTCCAAAGTATTGACGTTAGGTTCGTCCCACAACCATGTTCGAATTCTCCTCCCATACACTTCGTTTGCACCGAGCGTTATAGCCAAGGAAATAAAGAAAGTGTATGTAGGTCGTATGTGTTTTGTTTGTACGGATTAATATGTATGTAAATGAATCCATTGTCAAGGCCTCGTGTACTAATTGATGTTGTTTTTTCACCGACCAGATTTAATAGTATTTCCGTAAAATATACTTATATATAGTTCGTGTCTTTATTCCTATTATCTTCTACATATTCATTCTCTCTGAGAGCTGTCTGTATGAAACTTTGAATAAATGACACTAGAACTAAATACGTATTTCAATCGTTAAGTCTCATCTATTTTTTCGAATATCGCAAATTTTATATTATACTCAAGTCAAATTAAAACAATAGAACAAAAAAAAAAAAAACCAACACAATCCTAGAAAAGCACATATCAAGATGAATTAGAAATTATATACAACAAAGCCAAAGAATAAATCAATCAATTAAACTGCATTATACAGCTGCTTTGTCCTTCTAGAGCTTGTCAATGATACTAAGGACGAAACCTATTAGTAGAATGAAAATGATTGGGAAAAAAGTCAAAATCGAGATAGAGAAGTACAAAAAAGTTATATAACATCCGCTAATAATATTATAGCAATAACGAATATGTAAATTAATCCATATATTTAAGCTCGTTCTTTTATCATTCACATTAATTACAGTGACGTTTACCTTGAATGGTTTTTCACCCGAGTGCTGTCTGATGTGGGTCCGTAATATACTGGAAGCTGTGAATGCCTTATTGCAGTAAACGCATTTATAGGGTCGTTCTCCACTGTGTACCTGAAAGTTATTTTTCAGAATTCTTCATTTTTTCTATTTCAATTGTTTATAGTATTGTTAGCCGATAAATCTTGATTTTCCATTAATTAATACTAGACCTGAAGAACAAAAGAAAATAAACAATGTGAAATTCTGTTTCATCAATATTTTCACTGAATCATCTTGGTATTTGTCATGCATGCCATTTCATGAAATTATTCATTGAGACTTAATCCTTAACAGGTGTATCTTTTGTTACAATAATAACATTCACTACTGAGTTATCTCCCTTACCCGCATATGCTTGTTTAGACTCGATGATTGGCTGAAACTCTTAGCACATACCATACATTTGTGCGGCCGATGTTTCTCGTGCACGTGCAAAATGTGAATGCGCAGACGGTCCCGCTTCTCAAATGATCTTAAAAAGAGGAAGAAAGGGTTATTAATTTGCTAATTAAACTAAACTGCTTGAGAAAAAAATCACACTATCAAAATTAAAGTCACTTGAATGTCTTGTGGCTATAAACTTAGTAACCCTGACAATTTTGTGGTGAGAGATCATGTGTTATTGTTTTGTCCTTGAGAAAAACAAGACGGGCGATACACTTGTGAATGTAGGAAATCCCTGGAAGGAAAGTCGCATAACGTCTGTTGATAAAATGAAGGTCGATGATAATATAAACAGTCGTATAATGTTTCAATTTATATGTGTTATAAAAGATATAATTCAAAACAAAATTAACTATAAAAATTATTTAAAGGATTGACATCAATGTAAACACAGCTGGAAAATATTACAAATACAAAGGTTTTGATATTTACGTTTTATTGGATGATAACGTTATGGCAAGCTAGCAGTATTACAATTGTAATATGTTTTAAATAGTTTTGGCAATAAATTCTAAGTATTGTTCAGTAGTGCAGTTTTCAAAATCGTCATGAACAGTCGCAATAGGTGACGACTATCGGTGTAATAATTTCGCAAATTATGCCCACTGACTACCCAATCAAATGCCGTGTTACATCTCGATTACGTTTGGATGAAGGATAATTACCCACAAAACTACAACTTTGAATAAGAACTATTGTCTCCTTAAGGGCTATCAACGTATTATATCATTGTGTTATCAGTAGATCTTAATCAAAACATTGAAGCATACAGGCGATTAATGCATTATACTTTTAACAAAACACATTCCAAATGTCCTCCGTGAACATTTTATATCACATAATGTTTAAAATCGTCAGCTGATTATGTGTACGAAAGCAACTATTTTATCATATTATACTCCTGGCGATAGACACGAAGTGTTTTGGAGATTTCACTCATACACAACCGGGCTGTAATTGTGTTAATATTCACAGTTATATTATTAATCGATGGATGGGTCGTTAGTTTCGTAACGTAAACACTCATATAACATGATTAATACACATACAACGTCGAGCTACCCCTATCACCTCCTTGGCGCCTTGTGGAAGGGAAATTCTTTGCCCTTTGCAGAAAAAATAAAGTTCTCGTCACAATGAGACCAGAGAGCCGAAAAGAAAGATTCGTATAGATACCCGCATGGACTAGCAAAGGGGCTGGAAGGGAGGCACAAGCTACATCCCAAAAGATGTGTTTTTGTGAGAAACCCTCTCTCCTGGATTTCAAGTTTTTCATAAATAGATGACTTGGGTTCATGAGCTGTCCCCGTTGTGTATGCCTTTGAGTGGCGGAGCCATGTAACAATCCAATTGAGGAAAGAAGACGTGACGTAACAGGATTAGCGCCCGGCAACAACACCAGACGCGGACACGTAACTTACTTAGGAAAGTTTACCGACTTGTTAATACTATTGAGACGACAAAAACAGAAAGTCTTTGGTCTTGATGGTAAAACGCCACATCGATAATTAGTTTCGTTACTAAGGGTACGTTTGGACCTGTGTGATCGAAACTTGTCAGTTTTCTGGTTGTTACAATAGTATGTAAAACTCTGTAACGATAACAGCTTCAGTGATACCTTTCTCTGCCTCTCTATCGGCCATCGAACGACGAAAAGTGTGGCCATTATGAAAATTATATTTTAATTTAGTACAGAACATATTGTGATTTGTAATATATCGTTGACATTAAAGTTATGAAATTGCAAATGGTATTTTGATATTTTTTGCAATTACATTAAGCAATGTATTCCATTACAAGACGTGTAGATAATGAATGAAATAATTTTCAAATGGTCGAATGAATTCGATTGAGGAACCTTTAATCAAACAATGAACGACACTCGGATATACTAATTGGACTAAGCATGTATTACCTGCTACAAAGATGACACGGAAATTTCCTGTTTCCTTGATCGACACATCTTGTATACTTCAGATGTTTGTCTCTATAATATTTGTAGGCGAACACTTTCCCACATCGCTCACATTGATAACCCTCTGACGCTGTAGAAACGAGAGGGTTAAAGTCATTACAACTTGACATGATAAATTTTACTTGTTTGTTTCCACTAAACAAATTATTTTCACTTAGATCTTAGTTGTTGTTTTCGAGTCTGATAGATGTTTTTTACATTTCTTGATAAATGGAGTTAAAAGAAAAAGTGTCCCAAGAGTTAAATCGACGATTCAATCTACTTTAAAAGTGGTGATGCTTTCTATCTTCTACTTACATTCACTTTCCTGATTTCCCTCTCCATCTGCCATTTCCTTCAGGGACACAGGTACTCCCATGAACTGTAGATAGCAGTCCCCATACCATACCAAAAGTTCTGTCCCTTGGGGAATATCCTTACACACTTCGTAGTAAATCTCTCCCTCGATTTGGATAGCAATAAGGTTTTGTTCCTGTGCATACCGAGCACAGTTGACGAAGGACATCCAGTTTCCAGTACTGCCACGGCCGTCCACGAAATGACTGAGCTTACCTTCTTGAAAAATCTTTAAGTTAACGAAAAGAAGAGGAGAAAGTGAGATTTTCATAGCAAAATTGGATAGCTAGGGCAAAATGAGCATGAAAAATATATCTTAGAAATTAAAAAGATCGAAATTTCTTTGGTATAATAATGTTTCCAAAAATAAGATAAGTCTAATTCTATATCATTTTATTTCACAATAGACTAAAAAAATTATTACGGGGTGCTTTTTCTGGTTTATATTTTAAAGGTATATTCGGCCTTCAAATATATATTAAAAATATCTTTATTTTCGAGTAGGAGAAACAAATATTGAAACCTTGAACGGTGCAACACCATTGAGAAGTCGAAACCCCAACCAAATGCTTTTGTAAAGTTATGAGTCCAATACAATTGAAAATTTTTGATAAAGATAAGAATATTAAATGATACTAAGATTATGGAATGAGAAGACATGTAATATCGACTCCAGAAGCAAGTGTTTTAATCTGAAAGGTCATTCATCAAAATAATTATTCCTAAGATATTTCCTTTCATTGTCAAAAAACCGTCAGAACGAATCAAAGTTCGCATCGTGAGTCATTAAGCATATTTTCTAATTCATTTTCCTCTTTGGGATTTTAAATCAAATTCCTCAATATGGCCATCAAGTTATTGAACTGTGGCATATAATGACAAAAGATCCTTATAGTTAATAGAGAATGACCGATTGACGGTATGATAAGAAAGCCTCCCGATATTGACAGAGGTATGGTAAGTGTCCATTCAGACTAATCATCAACTGATTAAAGATGTTCAATGCCTATAACCATGTCAGAACATAGTATTTGAACACGTGTGTTAGCAAACAACTTCAACAACACTGTCAATATAATTTGTCACATGTAACAATCAACTCGACGAGATTGACAGCACTGGCAGATAGGGTGATCTCATTAACAAACAAAAGAAGCACTATTTTAGATTCCGTCCTCCTTGCAAATTAAAGAAGGGTCCTACAACTTAAAATGCCAACACTCCTGATGGTTTTGACTGACAATTAATATATATATGAAGATCATTCTTCCCCTTTTCGGATTTTTGGTAAGCTTAACAAAAATTTCAGACACGTGAAATTAACTATACAACACATATTTTTCTTGTTTTTGTTGATATTGATTCTACTATCATGCATCTAATGATTCATTAAATTGATATTAAGTTTTATTCTAGATGAAATTGAACAGTATCAAGATGTAAGAATGGTGAAAAAGTTTGTCAAATATGATGACCAGAAAACGAAAGTATACCCTTGACATGGCTAGAAATTAGCTCTCTGTGTGTTTACATGAAAACTCACACGTGATTTATTGACTTAAATCTCAAGGTTGTTTCCCTTTGTGACGGGTAGAATTCTAAACTGTCCCTGTATAACACAGCTCTTGTATCCTCCATGTGGTTGTCAACCCCCTTAATTACTCAGGTTTACAACTCGAAAATGCTTGAGAATGTTATTAGTCGTGTGAGGCATACAGTTTAACAAATACCCGCTAACATGGAAAAAACACCGGCATCATCAAGTGCAGCAAATATGCACGGGGATATATGTAAATAACATATAGATAGATATGACATCTACCCAAAATTATTTGAATGATATTTCGAGTTTAATCAAATAATTTAAGCGTAATTGACTGTGTGTAGATATTTTTTCTTCAAACAGACAAGCGAATGACTTCCACACTATTCGTACAATGCTGAAATTCACCTTTTGTTTTTTGTGTTGTTTTACCACAAACACGGGTAAAAGTTCAAATACTCATCAGTATGTTTTAACACAAACACGGGTAAAAGTTCAAATACTCATCAGTATGTTTTACCACAAACACGGTTAAAAGTTCAAATACTCATCAGTATGTTTTATCACAAACACGGGTAAAAGTTCAAATACTCATCAGTATGTTTTACCATAAACACGGGTAAAAGTTCAAATACTCATCAGTATGTTTTACCACAAACACGGTTAAAAGTTCAAATACTCATCAGTATGTTTTACCATAAACACGGGTAAAAGTTCAAATACTCATCAGTATGTTTTACTACAAACACGGGTAAATGTTCAAATACTCATCAGTATGTTTTATCACAAACACGGGTAAAAGTTCAAATACTCATCAGTATGTTTTATCACAAACACGGGTAAAAGTTCAAATACTCATCAGTATGTTTTACCACAAACACGGGTAAAAGTTCAAATACTCATCAGTATGTTTTACTACAAACACGGTTAAAAGTTCAAATACTCATCAGTATGTTTTATCACAAACACGGGTAAAAGTTCAAATACTCATCAGTATGTTTTACCACAAACACGGGTAAAAGTTCAAATACTCATCAGTATGTTTTACCATAAACACGGGTAAGAGTAGAAATATTCATCAGTATGTTTTACCCCAAACACGTGGTAAGAGTTCAAATACCCATCAGTATGTTTACCATAAACACAGGTAAGAGCAGAAATATTCATCAGTATGTTTTACCACCTTCATATTTTGTAGAAAGGCAGTCTTTATTTTGAGTATTTATAGTAGGTTTTAATATTAGAAGAGTGATTATAGTAGGTTTTCATATTAATAGAGCACAAAAATAAAACATTTTAGTATACTTAGAGCATGTTTCTATTATATAATGATGAAAAAAGACAGTTATCATATTCTGATTTTTTATATTATTAGTTAAATTTACAAAACAGCTGAGTGTAATCATATAATGCCTTCATGTAAAACGAGTTAAAATATAAAACTGCTGAGTTTAATTATATTATGCCTTCATATAAAACGAGTTAAAATATAAAACAGCTGAGTTTAATTACCTTATGCCTTCATATAAGAATAAAGATACAAAACATTTTAGCGCAATACATTGTATATTCAAAAGACTACAAAATAAAACATTTGAGTGTTAATATATTACGTCTATTTATACTTTCGTATCAAAAGAGAAAACTAAAACAGTTCAGTGTAAGTATATTATGCTTTTAAATTAAAAGAGTACAAAATAAAACAGTTGAGTAGAAGTGGATTGTGGTTTCATAAAATTTAAAACAATAAAACACTGAGAATGATGTGAAACATCTTCCTAGTTATCTTATAGAATAACACTTATTTGCTGATCAATAAAATTATGATGTTAGAACGTAGCCTATCATTTTAATATTGATTGTACACTAAAGCAAATAATTGCTTCAAACCGAATTTATTCAAGGACATCAGTCACGCCTGTAAATTATTTACTAAAATTCAACTCTTCCTTTTTTTTCTCAAAAACAATAACTGGACTCCGCGGTTTCAATTTGTGGCATAAGGTTTATTTTCTATATATAACTATTGTTACGTCATTTACTCCTTAATCATATTCTTGTTATACAAATTTACTAATAAATATTTCTAACATCAGCTATCGCCCCTTAGTGATTTTCTTGTTATAATTTACAAAAATGCACACGCTTTTCTTCCAGAATGATTGTAATTCTGAAGTGTGTGGTACACTGACCGTTCTGTCGTAGAGTGGAAAGATTCCAGGTACATGGAAATTATGTTATGTAGATTTTTACGTATTTCATATATTCTCCATTATAATGAAGTACATTTTTGTAATTCCTTTCGACCACTCATAAATATTACATATAATTATAAGAAGGTAATTTAGGTAACATACTCCAGTGAAATATAAATTTTTATCGCGGAATTTTTTTGTTTTTTTCTAATTAAGAAGATTTTTGTAACATATATTATGACGATATAAGAATTTCAATACATACCTCCCACATATATGAATTGTCGTCATTTGTCTTGATCTCGCTCATGTTGACGGTTCTTCCCTTGAAAGGTCCGAATTTCGTTCCCCGGGCGATGATTGTTTTGGTACAGAAAACGCCATAATGTATACCACCTGCGAATGTCGTCTGGAAAATGGCCACTCCTGTTGTGACAAGAATTATGATGGACTTTAATGATCGTTAAAATATACATCATTGCTATGACATTTATTTTTTAATCATTTTGTTATATTTTTGTTAAGATTTTGTTACTGTATTTTTTTTCATATAAATTCATAGATATATATGAGACACGTGTTTAAGAAAAGCGGAACTGGGAACCAGACCCTATTTCTGTCTAAAAAATGTGGAATTGGGAACCAGACCCCATTTCCGTTTAAGAAAAGCGGAACTGGGATCCAACTTCAGGTCTCCCAGCTTGTAAACATCAATTCATCAGTAAATGTACCTTCAGGAAGATCGAGTCCCGCAGCCTCCAAAACCTTAGTCGTTATCATAGGTGGGCGAATTTGTGGATGTGAGTATGCGCTTCCTCCACCCAATATCCGCTCTATGCCTAAAATAAAAATAAGTAAATAAATAAATTTGAAATGCTGTGATAATTTCCTATTTATTTAATTGAGTCTGCATTCAAATGTACTGCATTTGATATTGAGCAGTATGAAACAGAGCTTTAAAGAAGATGGTTGACCAATTTTTGCAACGTATTATGTAATTGCCAGGACGCATCCGTGTTCGGGCGTATAGTTCCAAGGGATCTTCATCACTAACACACCCCAGAAAGCATAGCATGTCTTGTTTGAAAATCTTGTAGATAAAGAACAAATCTGTGCAATATGTATGTGAAAATGACGATTTTTTTTCTGCAATTAAAGTTTGCATGCCGGCTTAGACACAGGTCGTTTATTTTCATCGAGTTTTATAGCGGCGGTGTTCTGAAGCTTGTGGACTACAAGGCGATATATAAAAGTCGATAGAATGTCAGGTAAGTTCCCTCTAATTAAGTTTAAGTATGTATCATTTTTTCGCAAGTCTTTTGTTGAATTTGTGATTACTCTTCATCAACGAAATGATAACTAGATAAATTCTAACTAGATAAATGCTTGCTAGATAAATTCTAACTAGATAAATGCTAACTAGATAAATGCTAACTAGAGAAATGATTACTAGATAAATGCTAACTAGATAAATAACTAGCTAAATGATTACTAGATAGATGATAACTAGATAAATGCTAACTAGATAAATGATAACTAGATAAATGCTAACTAGATAAATTACTAGATAACTAACTAGATAAATGATAACTAGATAAATTATAACTAGATAAATGCTAACTAGAGAAATGATTACTAGATAAATGCTAACTAGATAAATGATTACTAGATAAATGCTAACTAGATAAATGCTAACTAGAGAAATGATTACTAGATAAATGATTACTAGATAAATGCTAACTAGAGAAATGATTACTAGATAAATGCTAACTAGAGAAATGATTACTAGATAAATGCTAACTAGATAAATGATTACTAGATAAATGTTAACTAGAGAAATGATTACTAGATAAATGCTAACTAGAGAAATGATTACTAGATAAATGATAACTAGATAAATGATAACTAGATAAATGCTAACTAGAGAAATGATTACTAGATAAATGCTAACTAGAGAAATGATTACTAGATAAATGCTAACTAGATAAATGATTACTAGATAAATGATAACTAGATAAATTCTAACTAGATAAATGCTAACTAGAGAAATGATTACTAGATAAATGCTAACTAGATAAATGATTACTAGATAAATGCTAACTAGATAAATGCTAACTAGAGAAATGATTACTAGATAAATGATTACTAGATAAATGCTAACTAGAGAAATGATTACTAGATAAATGCTAACTAGATAAATGATTAACTAGAGAAATGATTACTAGATAAATGCTAACTAGAGAAATGATTACTAGATAAATGATAACTAGATAAATGATAACTAGATAAATGCTAACTAGAGAAATGATTACTAGATAAATGCTAACTAGAGAAATGATTACTAGATAAATGCTAACTAGATAAATGATTACTAGATAAATGCTAACTAGAGAAATGATTACTAGATAAATGCTAACTAGAGAAATGATTACTAGATAAATGCTAACTAGATAAATGATTACTAGATAAATGCTAACTAGAGAAATGATTACTAGATAAATGCTAACTAGAGAAATGATTACTAGATAAATGCTAACTAGAGAAATGATTACTAGACACATGTATATACGTGTCTTGTTTATGTTTACATTTAGTGGGTAATGATGTATATCTAATTGTATGAAACAGTATTAATGAGTCCAATGTACAATTGTATGTAAAATAGTCCCAAGATAATCTGCATGAAAAACAAATCTTACAATTATATAATCTATGCAATTGAGAATATATAGTATCATCGTCTTACAGTATCATATGGCTCGACCTGTCTCGGTTGATTGAGCAGTCAACACTTCAGAATACACTCCAATTAAATATGTCAAATATTTTTTTTAAAAACTGGGCTCATTGCGTTTTGCTAAGACATCAGTGTGTAGTTACTGTTTTCTGATTGGTAATTAACACGAGAAAAACAATAAGTATTCACACTTGTTTCACTATCAAATCCTATCGTTTCATATGTTAAATTGAACTAAAGTATTTGCACTGGATTGTTTTGGCGTTTGTCAAAGTTTCTAAAGTACAGTTAAGTGTTGCCTACATAAGAATCAACTTTGTTGGAATAAATATCAACATTCTGGTCTTAGTCTTATAGGTAAAAACCACTTAAGATGTTCAACTTTATGGTAAGTGAGGAACTTCTGATGGATGCGATGGACAATCTACAATGTTTCCAACTGT